ACTGGCTGTGAATTTCTCCTTGCATGCCGCTAGGCTTAGAGACAAAGACCGACACAGTCATATGAATAATATGTGAATGATATGAAAAATTACTCCTCTCTTTAAAGTAGAGATTTAATAACGATAGGGAAATCATGAACGAAAGGATGTGTGTTTTAAGTTAGTTTGGCAAGTTAGTAAGGGCTACGATTTTCATTCATTATAGCACTTAGATAACTTTTCGATATTCCGATAGCTACAATGAAGCAACCTTCATTATGACCCTCAGCTTTAACTTCATCGTGCAGAATGAAGGCCTCAGCAGGAGCATGGCTTTCAAACGACGCACGAGATAAATAATAGAAAACAGATCCATTCCTAGCTACTATTCAGACCAAAAGTGTACTTTCAATATTCTTAAATATCAATCTGCTAATTGCTTAGTAAAAAAATCTTCCCTTTCAAGTCGAGGACGAGAGAATTTTTCAGTCACTGAAATCAGTGACGTTAATAGTGGGCGCGTGGAGCGGTACAACAAGAAAAAAATGCTCGCAGTTATTTCAATGACACACACAACAGGTTGTGTCAAAATGGTTTACATCAGCGTTTTCACCAGTCCATAATGACCTCAAGTTATCTATAGTTAGGCCGCAGCCAGAATAAAAAACAGGTACGATGACTTAATTTTTGTCCGATTTTTGCTGCAGTTTGCTGTTCTTATTATAATGAGTCAAACATTTGCTTAGCAGGAAACGGTGCTGATGGCACTCCAGTCAGTTCCTGGCCCAAAAAGCATTATGATAGCGTCTACAACAGCCTCTCTTTAGGCACGGCGAACAAGAAGATAAAAAAAATTCTTCAGAAAATGAAGAAACAGCTTCCATACGTTCAAAATGATATCAGTATCATCAAAGAAAGAAACAACACTTTATCGCGAGGTATAGCTACACAATCGATTATCATTTTTTTCCTTTCCATTTGTTTAGAAATGCTGCTTAGATAGTAATGGATAGCCTATGGATTTTAACCTTTTTTGATCATGACTTACCGTTTATATTTCCAATGAATTCGCAGAAACTCTCCTCCGAGAAATGTAAAAGAAATGTCCAGAAATCCAAAACGAAATTGCTGCTATCAAAGAAACAAGACGCTTGCTGAAACTCAAGACAACTCTACTAAAATTATTCTTTTTCATAATTCCAAAAAGTTTTCTTTTGTTTTTCCGTTAATTGCAAGATCGAGATGCTTGTCATGTGACCTGCAAAGGTTTAAGTTGGCCCGCGGACAGGCTCTTGCAGAAATCTGTCAATTTAGATAGGGTTGCTTTCGCTTAAATCTTATGATGAATTTACCTTTTCACCAGCAGTTAAGAAGAATTGAGCTAAGCTTCAAAAATCTGGTAAAACAAGCAGCGGCGTTTATACAATCGACCCTGATGGTTCAGGTGCTTTCAACGTCTTGGAAGGCTCGGTTGCTTTCCACCGTAGCTGGACTGATAACAAGAATGGGTTTGGTAACCTTTGGTTATTTTTGCTGGGACTGGACAGGATACACCGTCTGACAACAATGAAAAACAAGCTCCGTGAGGATCTTATGGCCTTCAAGTGAAACACTGCGTTTGTACTTTCCAACGCACTTTCTACACTAACCTAGTCTGTAGAACGATATACAGCAAAACAGCAATTCATGGAGAATATTGGATTATGGCCCGAGTATAACGCCACGCCAAATCAGATACTAGTAACGTCTACAAAAAGAGAAACTGAAATGTAAACTGGAGAAAGCCGTGCCAGGGGGCCAGAAAAAACCTACCCTAAAAAACCCTGTGGGAAAAACGGATAGGAAATCTGGGGCGGGCCAGGCACGACTTAGTCCCACGCCGAGACTACTAATTCAATAATTTATCGTAAGAAAACGAAATCCGAAACTAAAGAGCAATAGATCGAGCAACTTTTAAGCGATCATTAACAGTGTGCTTAATGTATCTGTTCTTTGAAATGGCACATTTCCAGTCGGCCTGCAGTTGTCCAGCAGATCAGCAGAAATACTCCTACACGCAGGATTTGAAGCGGCGCCCGATTTGATACTATGCGTGCCGTAACTGGCAATGTCATCTTAATGCCATCGCAACTAGTATGCAGAGTCCTGATAGTTGTGGATTTGTGTGATATCGGATTGTAAGATGACTCGTCCAGTAATCTGTCGATATGTGTCGGTTTCCTGTAAATTGTTGTCCGTAATGATTTGTCGTCACGGCTTACCAGGCAGTTTAGGAAATGTAGTTTATCATTTTCTGCGACTCCTCTGGTAAACTGTATGTAATTGTTTTGTCCATTAAGGTGGTGGTGGAATGTATTGATTTCGCCTTGTTGCACGGTGGTAAATGTATCGTCAACGTAGCATAGTCAAAGCGGTATCGTCGTCCGATTTTGTTTTTCGCTCGTATAATTACAGACCGAATTGGACTGCGATCTGTTCTATTACTATTATAAATTTATCTCTGACATCTTTTGCTTCACGAATTTAAAAGTTTTTAGGCATAGGAGAACGTACTGCCCTTGCAACATTTTATAGGTGAATGCAGTAACTGAGAAAAATGACTGAGCCGGTGAAAGAATTGCTCCACAACGAAGATATGAACACGAATTTTGATTGACTACCGTTAGGCATACTAAATCTCTTGCCTATATGTTATCTTTCGATCGAAATCTAAGTAGACTTTCAAATTTAAGTATCTAGCAAATCAAACATCAAAAGAAATCGTAACTAGCTTGTTTTGGTTTTGTTGTTGCAGTTTTTTTGTTAATTTCATAAGCTGACAAGTTTTTCGGATTGTTGCTTCCTGCACTAACTATGACGTGCAATTCAAAAAATGATAGGGGAATTACAAGAACTGAAAAAAAAAATTCGAAATTTTACCTAAGAGTTCAGAGGTTTCTGTTTCAAGATATTCTCAGTTTATAGCCTAAAAAGGCAACTTCAGTTAATTTGCTCCAAACAAATCCGCATTATGTAGACACCGTTCAGTCAAATTGTTTGCATTTCTAGAGGATATTTATTTTTACAGAGCTTACAGCTTTGTTTTACTACCGGATATAAACTCAAGAAACGAGAACCTAAGATTTTTCCTTGAGATTTCGTGAAAATGGCTTAATCACGAGAAACTGACGTACGAAGATCAGGTCACAAATTATGGTCGCATCTCAACCTTAATTACTTTTCCTCTACAAAAAAATACCGAACTGTATTTTAAGTAAGCACCTAGATTGAAATATGCATCCTTCGATATTTGAAAGTTGATTTTTATCCCGTACTTTTGAGGTAAATGGGTCCCAGAGTCATCAAAGCTTCTTATATATGATCGCTGTTTTTTACGATTCCTGACTTATTTCCTTGAAATTTAGAGATTCTCAAGTATTGAAAGTTTCAAGGATTTATTATTGCAAGTTCAGCGCTTAACTAGTTTTCGTCCGGTTTCCTTCGTCTCTGTTCTGCTTTTTGTTGCGAAGCAGTCGTGTCAGTTCCTGTTGATGTCCAGTACAGGCACATTCAGTCGTCCTGTTGGTACGCAAAAGAGAACTTTAAGTCCCCGAATGGGGACTGGGGTCTAATGGCGGACACACGCACCGTCATTAGGCTCTTCGTATTTCTTATTCTTCTAGCCCATCTAGCGGAGCCTAGGTTCACCAGCTTGATTTACAGGACGGCTAAAGATACTAACCTGCCAGTCGGACCATCTCTCAAACTGGAACTGGTTAAATTTCGCCGGAAACATCGAGTTAAGTTCGCTGTTCAGAAGACTACTAAACATGGGCCTGTTATGATATGTCTGCCCGAAGCAGCGTTTGTCCTGCGGCCCGTCGGACTAGAAAACATCATTAGAAGTGGTGACGTTCACCCTCTACCAGGACCCTGTTTAATTCAAGACCAGCAAAGGACTTCTGACCGAACCCGACCAACAATTGCGTATTCTCCTTCGGCTTTGCGTAATTTGGCTGCCTCTATTAATAGCGTCTCTTTGCGTCCTGAATTAAAACACCGACTCCAAGACCTGGGCATTCTACGCTTTCGGAATACCTTCACTCAAAAACACATGCCGATTCCTGTGATTTCAAGACCCTGTCAATCCAGGAATATTTACAACTCAAGATCAAGAAATTTAAATAATTGTGTCTCCATCTTTACTGGTGATTATGTTAATTCTCGTAGCTGTCCTTTTGTTCCGCGAACAATAGGAGAGGACGCACGATCGATTCCGGTCAGGATCACACCTCGCAGCGCAGTGCGTGGACCCAGTAAACCAGTAAATCGTCAACGAGCAGTGAAAGTAATCAATCTAACTAAGATTACTTCTCAAAAACGCCCCAATTACAGCTTCCCAAGTTTCTACATGGCAAATGCTCGATCGGTCAGGGACAAACTGGACGAGTTGACTGCTCAGCTTTTAACGTTTCACATGGATATTGCAATTATTACGGAGACTTGGCTGTATGACTACATCGATAATAACATCCTTACCATTCCAGGGTACAACATCGCGAGACGTGACCGCCACAACCGAATAGGGGGTGGCGTGTGCGCGTTCGTGTCTTCAGAGATACCTTTCAAGCGTAGATCTGACTTGGAGTCTCCAGAACACGAGTGTTTGTGGCTATGGCTACGCCCTCATCGTCTACCACGCCCACTATCTGGTATTATATGTGGGGTGGTGTATTTTCCTGTGGCCTCTGCGCAAGTGCAGCGAGATCGCACAATGTACATTATAGAAACACTAGACTCCGTAAAGACTTCTTATCCAGACTGTGGTGTAGTGTTATTAGGCGATTTTAACACCCAGGACATCTCAGACATGTTAGCCAATCATAACCTAAAACAAGTAGTTATCAGACCCACTCGGGGCAATAGCATACTAGACCTTATTTTAACGGATTTTAGTGAATACTATAGCGAACCAATTGTCAGCGCACAATTAGGGTCTTCGGACCATAGCTCTGTTCACTGGAATCCGCTTTCAATGAACCAACTAAACCCGCTGTGCGTTGAAAAGAAAAAGATCCCGATGCGTCGCTTTCCTCAGTCGGCAATAAACGCTTTTGGGAGGTGGGCGTGTTCACACCGTTGGTTCAGTGATTTAGAAGTAGACGGTGACTCACCATCAGTTGACTCTCTCACTGACTCATTTACTAAGGATCTTTCATCAGCCAGCGATATCTACTTTCCGTCCAAATACGTGAAGATTCATCCAATGGACAAGCCTTGGATGTCACCTGAGATTGTATATAATATGAACCTCAACCCAAAGAAGTGCAAGGAACTTGTGATTTGTTCGCTTAGAACACGGCCAGATCTTGGCCCTTTGTGCGTCAATGGACGTCCCTTAGAACGGGTCTCCTCACACAAGGTCCTTGGAGTCACTATCAGCGACACTCTTGGGTGGAATGAGCACGTGCGTGAGATTGTCTCCAAAGCCTCAAAACGTCTTTACATCTTAAGAGTGCTCAAGCGGTCCGGAATTCCACCCGAAGACCTTATTAACATATTTTATGCCTTGGTACGATCGGTCCTCGAATACGCCTGCGTCACTTGGTCTACTAGCCTACCAATTTACCTCAAGGACATGATCGAAAGAGTTCAGAAAAGAGCTCTGCGTATATTATTTCCGGCGCTGAGCTACAAAGACGCCATTGTGGCTGCAAACTCCACTCGCTTAAATGTGAGAAGAGACGAACTCTGCAAGAAAGTTTGGGACGGTATCTGTGTGCCTGGGTCACGGCTGTACCACCTTATTCCACCAAAGCGCGCCGATTGCCACGTTTATGAGTTGCGCAACAAAAACCATGTATCACTCTTTAAATGCCGGACCGAAAGATTTAAAAAATCTTTCTTTCCAACAATGGCGTCTAACGCCCAGTTCTTGTAGTCAAGCAAACCTAAGCGTTTTTCATTGGTATATAACTACTGACTCTTGTAATTCCCAGTCCCCTTAGACTTTTAATTTTAAAGTCAAATGTAAGATTGTCGTATTTTTTAAATATTTAAAGTATACTTGTAAATTCACATGTATTTCACCACTGGGGTGCTATTTTTGAATACTTTTAATAAACCCTTCTTTATGTTACGCAACAAAGAATAGAGACGAAGTGAGGACAAATTGGTAACGAACATCTCTTCTCGTCCCTTAGACAAGACTGAAATCATTTTTCCAAGTACCTGACGACAATACTACAACCACTGACCGACAAGTCCAGACGTAAACTGTATTCCACGACGACTAATTAACGCCAACAAGACTGTACAGATACCTGATGACTACAAACCAGTATTATTTGATGTGAAATCGCTTTTCACAAGTATTCCACTTCAACTGGCACTAGACTGCAATCCCACGATCTACCGACCCTCTACCGCTCCCGACAGAGGACATTATGGACTTACTGAACCTTTGGCTAACGTCAATTTGTTTTCAGTACAACAGTATACACCACAAACAAGTTACATGGTATAGCTATGGGGTCTCCAGTTTCAGTTGTTGTAGCAGAAAATGTGATGCAGAACATCAAGGAACGCGCCCCTCCGACTTGCTGAAAAAAGATATCGCTTTGGCTACACTACGTTGAGGATACTTTCACCGCCGTATGACATGACGAAATCGACACATTCCATCAGCCTCTTAAAGGACAAAACACTGACATACAGTTTACCAGAGAAGTCGAAGAAGATGGTAAACTCCCTTTCCTAGACAACGAAGTGTTAAGCTGAGACAACTCATTACGGACGACAATTTACAGGAAACTGACACATACCGACAGATTACTAGACGAACCATTCTAGAATCCGATATCACATAAAGTCGCAACTATCAGAACTCTTCATACTAGTTGCGATGGGCGAAACGTCAGTCACCACTACCGACAACAGTACTTCTTAGGATTACTCTCAACCGGACGATGAGACTACACTATCACAAACAGTAAGATACTCGTAAACATTTCAGCCGCACGTTATCAAAACTAATTGAAGGGTAATGAATACACTAGCCTCCATTTCGCCTGAAAGTATGCTCGTATATTTGTCCTTGGATATTATGTGTTCCCCGAAGCTCACGGTATCCTTGAGCTTTACTCTCGGAAAACTGTTCACATCTGGGAACAGATAATGACTGCAATAGAGCATGATATTGACAGGGTTTCAAAAGGAAAAGCTTATAAAGCTCAAGTAATAAATATAATTTCAAATGAAATAAACATTTGTGGCTCAGAGGGACAGGCAATAAACTCCGTGAGGTAGTGGAGCTATTGCTCATAAAAACAAAAATTAACCTGACAACATAAGAAATAAGACTCTTAACGCTTGTGAAAAACTGGTATCTTTCGACTTTGTTTCGCTCTTTTCTAAAATCCCAGTGCATCTTGCCGTTAAGGTTGCGGAGGAGAGGCTCCCTAGGACAAAGAACTTCTTTGCTTGTGGAGGATATTATTCATCTACTGTCTTTTTGCCTCAAAACCACGCAACTCGCATATAACGGCACCTACCATCAACAAGTTTCTGGTACAGCTATGGGTTCGCCCGTCTCTGATGTCATTACCAACATAGTAATGGAAGACGTGGAACAAAGGGCCTTGGCCACTTCACCGGTTAAACCCTTTTTCTGGAAACGATATGTCGATTATGTCGATGATGTTATTTCTGCGGTATCTGAAAATGAAGCGGAGCGCCTCCTATCGCATTTGAATTCAGCAGAGTCGTCGATCCACTTCACCCTTGAGCGTGAACAGGATAGACATTTGCCCTTTCTTGATTTAAATCTGTCCAGAGGGGTTTAGGGTAATATAGAGACAAGTGTCTACTGTAAACCTACCCACACCGACAAATACCTCGCTTTCGATTCTCACCACCCTATTTGCCATAAAAAGTCTGTAGCCATGGTAACTGTCTACCATCTTCATTCGATTCGAAGGCTGAGGAGAGAAAATATGTTTCTAATGTCCTAAAGGCAAATGGCTATTCAAAAACCTTTCTCCCCAAATGCCAAAAACAAGTTACAACTAGTAACTCTCTTGATGAAAGGGAACCAGCGACTGGTTTTGCTGTTATTCCTTACATTCAGGGTGTTACGGAACCCATCAAGAGAATTTTGAATAGCCACAACTTTAAAGTTGCTCAAAAGCCTTTTCAGACTTTGAGGCATATTTTCGCCGAACCTAAGGATCCTGTCACGAAAGAACAACGAACCGACGCCATTTATTCTATTAATACATCGGACAGACCAAACGTCAGTTTGGTACACGTTTGAAAGAGCATCGAAAAGCGGTTTTCTTTTGCGAATGGAAAATCCAGCTTTATCGGAGCACACATGCCTAACCAACCATACAATTGGGTGGGATAATTCTAAAATTATCACCACTAGTCGGCGTTATCACCAGCGCCTTTGTTTGGAGGCTTGGCATATTAACTCCGCCCGCGCTCCTTTTAATCGTGACGATGGCGGCTTGCTTCCTGACGCCTATTTACACCTCGTCGGAAAAAAGGCGGCTAATTAGGGATCATATAAAAGGACCTCTTGTTGCAGCGTTTAGATCATCCCTGATGAAGGCACTAGACAGGAGTGTCGAAACGTTGGGTCTATGAATTGTAATTTCTTCGGTTACATTCATTAAGTCTGATAACCAGAGTAGCATCAAACCATGTCTGGTTCCCGTGTGAACTTTAATAAAAATTAACCTGTTATGAGTTCAATTATACACAAAGTCAGATGGCTAGATCTTGGTTCCTTTTTGGTGAAATCAGTATTTATTTGCTTCTTTGTATCTCTCAACAAAACGGATAAGATCTTTCTTTAACAACGTAGTTTATAAATTCTACAAGACGAAAGATTCTATGATTATATGATTCTGACTAAATCCTAAGATTCTGAGCGCTGTTGCTTATCAAATTGTTACAGTGTAGCAAACTGAAATTGGCACAACTGAGGTTAGTTTTAGATAGTAGGACGCATTTCCCTACATTGTGAACCAAAATATTGCTCGGGCTATGAACATAAGCTTTCTACATAAGTATGCTTTGGCTCTAGTTCACTTCAAATCTTCCACTTATTTCATCCTCGGTGATGTTAATATATGTCCTCTGAAATTGATGAATCAAAGAGAAGAAGATATTTCAGGTTAGATGCACGAGTGAAGCTTGAAATGAAAAAATTATTGTAATCATATAAAAACAGCAGATAGTAAAGAAAATAGTAACAAGGCGGTAGATGAGAAAGAGATATAAAAAAACTCATGAGATACCGCTAATTAGGCAAGCAGTGAAAACAACTCTTCTGCATGGCCTTTTTGATCAAAGATGGAATTTAGGAAATGTTTATCTCCGACATCTAGTGGATTCGGAGTCCTTCTTTCCTCGGACGATACTCTCGGTATCGAGTCAACTATCCAGTCGTCATGCGTATGCTTTTTATTGTTTAGCTGCACATAGTTGTTCTTATTTTCACCAACTAACAACGAAGAGATAGCATTTACCTCTATAAGCTCACTTTCTTCCGTATCAGCATTCATATCTTTCAGTATCATCTCAGCCAAATCTTTGTTGTCTATGCAGGCCACATAGATCTCTTCCGCACCTTCATGGCCCTAATATTGATACAGACAAGAGCAACATGTTCAATTGAGAGCAGTTTTAAGGTGTTAGAAATCGTTACAAATCCCCTGGCGATCGAAATGCCCAATTGTTCAAAACAAAAAGGATAGTTTATTCTCCACTTTGAGTATTCTTGCGAATTTTATTTAACAGCGATTATAGTTGGAAAACAGTTTTGTGGGCGTTTTATCAAGTTAACGTTTAGCTGCTATGAAGTTCGATTGCACTCAATAAGTGTCACCTCATGGTTTCTTCTTGCACGTCGATACAAAAACGCAATAATGCATCCGCTCATGAATGCAATTATTACGCCACCACACACACCAAGTGCAGTAACCAGGGGAACAGAACGTTGTTGTTCCTTTATTGGCGGGGCTGTATTTGAAGAAGCTTGTTGAAAAATGAAGAACAATGAAAAAACAGTGAGATTGAACACTGCATGGAATTATCAAGCGCATTATATGGTGCTGCTGGTCGTTTCGTCTCATAGTGTGAGAAACTGAAACCTGATTATCTACCCTCTAGGATTTGCATAGAGCGAGGAAATATTAAATTTCAACTTTCATTTAATTGCTCAGTCGGCAAAAATGATGTTTTTCTTCAATTTAGATAGAATAAAATCTCATACTTAGTTCTGCTACACGATTGCCCCTCAAGGAAAATGAATACAAAGTGTAGTATCAACATGCAACCTCATCTAGCTTTTTATGAACAGGAACGTGAGATTTGGAAGCTATTTCCTCAGCGCTGCTCTTTGGGATACATATGTCCAGTATTCAAGTGAACTGTTCTAAAAAACTTTCTGTTAGTGTCTTTTGAAAACATTTCAGAAGAAATGGTCGTTTCATAACAAAATTTAATGCCAAGATTAGAAACATTGAGCATATGTCTCACCTAGATACTTTGTGGACAAGAATGCCGGATTTGATGCTTTTTCTCCCGCACTGTTATTTGCAAAGCAGTAATATTTCCCATCATCTTCCCTCTTTACACCCTTTATTACCAGCTTGCTATGGATTTGCTCGTCGTCGAGAAAAATCTCAGCTACTCTAGTCCAGTTGTTAGATTGTACAGCACGTGCGTCAACGTTCTTTATCCATGTGATAGATGGCATGGGATGACCTTTGGCGGCGCAGTCAAAGGTTACGTTGAAACCAGCGTCAACAGTTTGGTTCTTAGGATCCTCAACAATTTCTGGTGCCAGGGAAGCTTACACCGGCAATTTCAGATGACGATGGATATTTTTTTTGAAGAAAGAAAGTAAAATTTGAGAAGCTGTCAGTGAGTAAAGAGCAAGTAAAGCAGGGAAAGTAGGTAATTGAGGAAAACGCTAAAGGGATAAAGGGAGCTTCGTCACGATAAAGACATCTTGAAATGGTAAGCCCACGCCTTATAGAAGTTCTATCATGTCCTATCGATTTTGTTCAAGCTTGTCTTTTTTCTATCCATGTTACTTATCCACTAGAGCACCCTGACTTCTCTTAGATACGGTAGCTAGTCCATGGAAGATAAATATCAATACGCAGCAAATTCTTAGTACGCACAATTCAGTGCACAAACCACTTGTCATAGAGAAACATAGAGCATTTGTCTCACCTAGATACTTTGTGGACAAGAATGCCGGCTTTGATGCTTTTTCTCCCGCACTGTTATTTGCAAAGCAGTAGTATTTTCCATTATCTTCCCTCTTTACACCCTTTATTACCAGCTGGCTATGAATTTGCTCGTCGTCAAGGAAAATCTCAGCTACTCTAATCCGGTTGTAAGATTGTACAGCAAGTGCGTCATCGTTCTTTATCCATGTGATAGACGGCATGGGATGACCTTTGGCGGCGCAGTCAAAGGTTGCGTTGAAACCAGCGTCCACAGTTTGGTTCTTAGGATCCTCAACAGTTTCTGGTGCCAGGGAAGCTTACACCGGCAATTTCAGATGACGATGGATTTTTTTTTTTTTGAGGAAAGAAAGTAAAATTTGAGAAGCCGTCAGCGAGTAAAGAGCTAGTAAAGCAGGGAAGGTAAGTAATTAAGGAAACGCTAAAGGGATAAAGCGAGCTTCGTCACGATAAAGACATCTTGAAATAATAAGCCCACGCCTTATATAAATTCTATCATGTCTAATCAATATTGCTCATGCTTCTGTCTTTTTTCTATCCATGTTACTTATCCACTAAAGCACCCTGACTTCTCTTAGATATCATAGCTAGTCCATAAAAGATAAATACCAATGCGCAGCAAATTTTTTAGCACACGCAATTTAGTGCGCAAACCACTTGTCACCACGTTTTCTACTTTACCTAAGTATTATTTTTAACATGAAATATTTTCAAAAAACCTGATTTAGATGGCGGGGTTACGAGAAAGTGAAAAAAAATCCCAGGAAGGTAGGTACCATTTAGTAAAATGTTGCTTTACTGTCAGTTAAATCGCCATTGTAAAGACGATATGCGATTTCTTTCGTAAGGTGAGAGCGAATTAGAGTAATAAACAGACGAAAGCTTTTAGAGCAGGAAATGAGATAACTCGTGGTTTCCGCGAGCAATGAATCATTCCGTATCACTCATCAGGTTTTATGCTTTCGTAGAAAAGGTTGTGGTTATTCATCGTGGTGAATAACAATAAAAGCTAAGTTTTCGTTTATCTCACGATGTAGTCACGTGTGATGTAAATCGCGACATTTCGACTGCATACTGCTAGTCTTTTTTAGGTGATGAGGTCGACTGGTCATGCGTGATCTTATAAAGCATGATGCTCTGCTGTGATTAATTGTTTTTCAACAGATTGCTCTGATTGGTGCATTTCGATCCTTGCTGTCACTCAGTGATTTGCTCCCTCGGCGGTCCCCTGTCGCACGGCTCTCCTGTTGTTGTGTTTTCTGGGCATCCACGCTTCTGAAATTTCTATTCCACTATCCCTGTTGATGTTGTCAGGGTGAAGTCTTACATGAATTGCCTCTTTGACCCTGAGCGTGTAGTAATAAGGGTCACGATCGAAATGCACCAATCAGACCTGTAGAATAACAATTAATCACGGCAGAGAATCATGTTTTATAAGATCACGCATGACCATCGACCTCATCACCTGAAGAAGACTAGCAGTATGCAGTCGAAACGTCGCGATCTACATCAGACGTGACTACATCGTGAGACAAACGAAAACTTAACTTTTATAGGTTTGATACTGTTTCGAAAATAAAATTTTTCCTCTTCTAATTATCACTGATTTTCCAAACTTTGATTGTGGCCAGGCAGTATGATTAAAGATCGGAAGATTAGAATGAGCTTTATGCTGGCACCGCATTTGCCAATTTACTTTATTATGAAATTCATGTCATCAATTACTTTATTGCTTCTCGAGGAGATTACTTTATATTTTTCGCCTACCTTGCAGCTCAATTTCGACAACTTTTTGCCTGCAATATCTCTCATAATCATTCTGAGCCTCACAAGTGTAGTTTCCAAACTGTTCCATAGTCAACCTCTTCAGCATTAATGTGCAGCGTAGCTTTTTGACTATTGATGTACCCTGCAGGCATTTGGCTCCAGCTGGTCTACCCTGAGGATCATACCACTGAATATACTTGGTCCATCTCCTTGGATAAAGCCAGTCTACATACCTTGGCCACGCTATGCAAGTCAAGTTAAGATCTGCACCTACTGTTAATGTGCGGTTTGGCGGACTTGAGAAGATATCCACTTCAGGTATCACTAGACGGAAAAGTTTAAGAAAATTAAATGCGTGGTCCTCGAGGTAACCTTAATCAATCATAACGATAACTCAATCAATGACTTCATTATAAAGACTTGATTTGTGGATCAAGTGTGTAAATTTAGATTTGTAAACAAAAATGCAGTTGCTACTAACCCTTTTCTCTATTGCATCTGTCGCTCATTTCCTCGGATGAAAGGCTGCTTATAGCACTGGCAACAAGTAAAAGCATGAAGAAGTTGCCAGCATTTGCAAGCCAATGTGTGTTTAGCATTCTGGTCATTGGATGTTCGTTTACTTCCTCCTACAAAAGTTACCTAAATGTAAAATCGTTTGTTTGCTATGGCATAAGGCAAAACGTCTTTTTTAAAACCAAAGCGGGCAGTAGATGATGGAAACTTTTCTTTTCATCAACAGATTAATTGTCAAGTTATTACCAAACTTCCATTGGGGAAATGAGCCGAAGTGCAAAATGATAGGCGAGGGAGAGGGTTAAACCTGCTTTTTAGGATGTGGCTTTATCATTATTACTATTATCAGACTTGTTGTTATTATTTTCATTATTATCACCATAATGATAGCTATCATTATTTTTATTGCTATTACTATTATTATTATCATTATTATTATTGTATGCATTTTGGCATATGAGTCAATTTTAACGAGGCCGTAATAGCGGTGGCTATTTCTATTAACCGAGCGAAAATGATCCCATTAATATTCTCTTACTGGTCCAAAAAACTTAAAAGAATAGAAGCATAAGACCTCATTTCAGAAAGTCTATGTTTCGTGACCAAGAAAATGCAAAGAACAAAAATTACAACCAGATGGCTTATAAGTTGTCTCGTGCAAAATGTCATATCTTGTTAACTACGCAACGATGCTCACGAAACCTGACCAAAATGTAAATTGAAGGTCTGAATAAAGCCTAATGAAAACAGAAGATGAGAGTTCGTCATGAAAAACTGATGGGAAAAACGTAAAAGAAATAAAAAAAAAAAGTTTCCTACTGATCACTCAAATTGCTGAATCTCGATGAGTTTTGGCACTTAGAGACAGCCTTGGTGAGTTCTCGCGAGAATAGAGTATTTTTAAATATAAAAATTAATAAATAGTAAAAGTCGTGATGAGAAAAAGGTAATTCAACCCACCTCAAGTCTTTTGCTTGCCACAGCAGACAAGACAAAATGTGAATATATTCAACTTTCTAACGTTGGAATAAACATAAAGAAAACAGGTGTTTTTGCCCACATATGCCACAATGTAGATCTTTATCGATCCAATTGTATACCTAGCAGCTATATTTCAATTTATTTGACACTGCATGAGGCCACGCTTAGAGACCATTTAAGAGCCATTTTCCGAGAAAATCGAAAATCGCAAGACACTCGTAAAAAAATTGAATTTTTTTTTCTTTTGCCAAAACATCCCTTTTAGTGACCTAATTCAAGAAAAAATAGTTTTGGGTTCAAGCGATTCGTTGTACGGGAGAAATAACAAATAGTTTGAAAAATCGTTTTATTGCTGTCTTTTCGCGCTTTAAAACAACAGAATCCGACCGCAACTTCGAGAAAACGGTGCATAAGAAACAATCCCTAACATCGAAACTTCAGCCGAGTATTATTTCGTTCTTAATCTTTAAAATCCTAAAAGAAAATTTGAAGAAAGAAGTTTTTAACATTTACAATCGACAAGTTTAAAAAGGTCGTATTTGTGTCTCTTGAAATGTTAGAAAATGAAAGCGAACTTTAACCGTTGTAAAAGCCCTCTGGTATATGCCGCTTCCTCGTAAAACCCATATAGAATAAAGCCTTGGCTATTGAAGTAAATAACAGGAACGTTTTAGCTCTGGAAATTAAATACAGCCCTGACACTGGAGTAAGCAATTTGAGAATTTAAGTTAATAAACTTTATGTAAATTAGACGGCCCGCTGAATGAATTCATACTAAATGCAAAGTTTAGTGTAAAAGGACTATTTACTGTTGCTTGTAATATGTTTTTACAGTGAAAATGTTATTTCTAGCTTTCAGCTGTGTTGGTAAGAGCCGTAAATAACTTTTTATATGACGACTGAAAAACGTTTGTTTAGCTACTTTGCTACCAGCGAAATCATTGAGATCGCAACTTCGAACTGAAGCTGTCATCGCTTGACGAAACTCCGTTACCACAATTTTAAAATAGTTTTCTTCAGGGGGAAAAAGCAGAATTAAAATGCATTCGAGACCGTTGACTTCGATTTCAAGCCACCACAAGGTCTTATGACCTCTACTGACCCGGAAATCGGTTACATGCCAAGGTCACGTTAGCAAACTGTCACGAAATACTCAATAACTTCTGTTTTCGGCCTTTGTTTTGGTAAAAAAAGTATATAAACTTTTCACAGAACAGACCTTCTTGCTTTATTTGATTTATATATTTGTATTGTTCTGGACACATGCATATGCTGACCGGCTGTGAAAGACATTCATCACAGTTTTTGATTCAGAGTGGTATAATATTTCCCAAAATATTTCAAACACAAATGTTTCCTTAATAAGTTCGTTATTCCCGAATTTCCCACCTTGCAATAATCCCTACAGCAAAAAAAGAAAAGAAAAAAAAAAGCATAAAAGTCAACTTTATAGCTTGCTTTAGTTTTGTTTTGGATTTTTTTTTATGATTTTTCCTCCGAAACCAGGAAACCCTAGCCAGGTAACTAGAAATTCTCAGTTTCATTTAGAGCTTGTCCACAACACAACTTCAAACTTGCGTGTGCTTATCGCATCCTTAAAACCTTCCAGACCTCTTCAAAATTGTTGAAAAGCCTATTGAGGCTAATAATAATCTTTGAGTTAACTATGACCAATTCACGCCGCGAGCGCGAGAAAAGGAGCTGAATACGCGATGTGGAGTGTTATAAAATTCCACATTCTCGCGCGTAACGCTTTCTCTAGAGACCTCTAGAAGTGTTGTTTAGCGAAGAAAAACAAAGTTATCTTTGGTTAACTCAAAGAACTTGCAGAAATACCTCCAGCCTGCATAAAAGGCGCTTTATGAGCCAAGCGAGGCGAAAGTGGCATTTTGCACGAAGCGCGAGAAGCGACGAGGGGAGGAGAAAAATAAAGTTTTATTTTTCTCCATCCCTCGTCTCGCACTTCGCACTCGTTTCGTGCTTCGAGCAAATGCCGCGTTCGCCTCGCTTGGCTCATAAAGCGCCTTTTATGCAGGCTAAAATACCTCTTCACATTTATAAGATAAGGTGTCGTTGATTTGTCAGAGCGGGAAGAGACATTTATAACGTGCAAATAGTCACGAACTGAAAGGTAACTGACTGATTTGTAACAAGGACTCACCCTGACAAACAAGAAATGATCCCACTTTCCGAAAAGGAACGCTCTTTTAAACATAAACAAACTTCAAAAATAAGTAAAGGAAACAAAACAATGAACAAAATAGATTTTTTCTTGACTTACTTATTCCGGCGAGAACAGATGGTGAATGATTCACTCCTGGAAGCAAGCCTCTGAGGAGAAGTGAGAACACCGTTTAGGCAAAACTCTACAATTTGTGTACTTTACTAGCCTGTTCACAGACTCTCTTCATTTTTAGATGTCGTCGAGTGCACGTATAAAAAAAAAAGCGCGTTCCGCCCTCTCTCACGAGCAATCGCTTATCTTGTGCGCGCACCAAATTCCCAAAACAGAAAAACGTCTGTGAGAAGGGTAGTACTTTCTGTTTCTACATATTTTTCCCACGGAGCTGGCAAGTGCAATTAATGATGGCTTTTTTCAGCAGGTCAACGTAGAGCGCTTTGCGGCGAACAGGCTTGGGAGGTACTTCTAATTCTAGTTGCTGACAAATGTTTTGAAACATTCCAAGTTTAAGTCGCTCCAGAGATCCTCCCTTGGCCACGGCACAGATATCGTACTGATCGTAAGTGATGGGGTGCTGTATCGTGATGGATAGGATTGTTTCTCTTGCCATGGTAAAGTTTTCCTCTTCTACTACAGCTTGGATTTCAGCATCGTCGGATGTTTGCCGTCGGACCTTCGCTGCAAGACGTGAGAAATATGAAGTGCACTGCTGCGGGGTAAGAAACTCGGATACTTTGAACAAACGAACACCATCAGGTCCTTGTGCACGTCTCATTTCACGTGATACGATATCACCGTCCAGTTTTCTGCCGCTGGTTTGACCAATTGTAAACTTCGCATTTAGATAATCCCTCTGGTTTTGGTTAAAGCGATATGCTTTTTTGCTCGGCTTTAGCGCCCATCCTTCTTTTACCTCTAATTCGCCGGATGTAGCCTCTCTTGTATCCCTAAAAGACGCAAACGAAATAACTTGACTGGTCGTGCCCTCCTCCAACCTGGACTTGTAGTCTAGTTTGGCAAGGTCTAACAAAGACCGTTTCTCTAAAGACTTGGTGCATTTCTCTAAAGATAGGTGTTTTTCGAGAGAAGACAGCCTTTGAAAGACCTTAACACACCCATCCTGAGGGCAGGTAAACACGGATGACGATTCATTTGTATTGTCAGTGGGATCATGAACCTGCTCCACTTCCGTCTCTTGCTTCTTCCTTGACTGAGTCGGTTTTGGGCTAAGGGGTTTAAAGTCTCCAGAAGAAAACTCAGATGAAAGCCAACCAATGCCATGCTCTGAAGTAGATAACACATAAGGAAACAAGATTTACATAAAAAGCTACTACTTCAATACTTCACTCTGCACAGCCTGTGAAGAGTGCCCCTTTGGTCCACTTTGGTGCGCGAACAGATGAAACGTTTGCTTTTTACATCTTATGACCGGACATGTTCTTCAGAACCGCCATATTCTGCAATGTTCGTTTTAAAAATTTTGTAGAACAAATCAAGGACTATAAATTTATAAAGGGTCTAAGGGGCTTAAGTCTTTTACAAAGTAAAACCCCACGAGGTGGCAGACACCCGCTCCTCCTGCGTACCAGGATGGGAAATGGATGCCTTTCATGCGTCTGAAGGCTATAACAAACGATAAACGTACACCTTTTTACTCAAACTATAAAAAAATATATATTTGCGCGATGAAATAATTCTAAAAAAGGAAGAATTGTGAATTTTCATTAGACTAACCTTCTGATGTTGTTTCCAATGGGATCTCTTTTCCCTTTCCCATACCATAAGCGCGCCAAGCTACGAGAATTTCGTCTTAAACTCGAAATTGTTTAATTTGTTGATACCAATTATCTTTCTGTTGTCATCTACTACTGCTTCCTCTTCAACACTTTGCATGACAGCAACTCGAACTCCTTCTATCCCCCCATGCGGAAGAAGAGCACTCTTCAGTTGTTCGGCATTGGTCACGTCATTTCCTTCGTTTATGAAAGTCCTGACGTGATTCTTGCAGGTTGCAGCGAGCCTGTCTGCGGCACCTTTTCCACCCTGTGGGTCGGAAAAGTCAATGCGCTTGATTTCGATGCCGGTGGAGGAGGATATCACTGGGCATGAGAGTACGGTGGACGACGAATGATAACATCCTGCGTTATCTTGGCGAAAGAACGCCTTGTTAATCTCACTGTGCTCCAGCTTGATCGTATTCAGGACATCCTGCATGATTTTAACCACTGCAGCACTGCCTTGATTGCACGACTGGACTATGTGCAGAAAGCCTTGCAACTGGAGTACCCCGCTCACACGACGGTAGACGACAGAAACGTGCCAGGAGATACCTCGCTTACCAAACCAGTCGGTTTGGGACTCTCTGTATTTTTGTGGCAGGAACTTCATGGCCCAGTCGTTAATTATCAAGACAGTGTTGTCGTCAAGTTTCTCCAGTACATCTATTCTCGCTTGGTCTTGGTTAGCTGATCTAAGGATGTGGCATTTCCAGGACATTATGGCCAGCTGGGCTGTCTGGAATATAAATAGCGCTTAGTCTTTCGCGTCCTGAGTCGGAAAGGTCGTCTCGCCAAGGACCCGTTCAATCTTTGCCAGAGTTTCCTGAAGACTTTGACAACGGTCACAAAGATCAGTGTGTTGGTGACTGCATTGTTGCTGGTAATCTGCATCACTACTGTCGCTAAGAGCAAACAACATACAATGGTCTGCTACGTTAGAGGGGCTTGTGACATGAACCTGTTGATAAAACAAAACTGAGATTACTGTTTGTCTGTGCTTATACTTCAATATAATAGTTAATCAAATGATTTTTTAATCTAACATATATTATTAACGTAAGGGGGCGAATAACTTTTAACCTTAACCTTAGAAAAAAAAAACTATCCTCGTGCGCGCATTGTTAATCTCGAGAATTGATGTAAGCTAGTTACACGTGCACCATTTAGTGAAGAAAAAGAGTACAAAATATATATCTGTTTTACGGAATGATTTTGTTGACGAGGTAAAATAAGTACTTACTTTTAGTTTTATTCAAGCTGTCTTTCTGGAGTCAGAATTCACATAACCTTATAGTCCCCCTTCAAATACTGCTTGCTTGTCATAAGAGCTTGCACAACTGTAGTCTCCCACTCCTTGCCGGAACCTAATTCCCCTATTTGGCGTACGAGGGCCACGAGATCATCAAATGCGCGAGCACCTTCAGCTACAAAATAATCTAAGCCCTGCAGTGATTTTCTTACAGAGGCACTGTACTCAAAGAGTACCCGTCTCATAGTAGTTTCGCTGAATGGTTTGAAGTTGATCTCCAAACAGTACTGAGTGTACTGTTGTATCACTCGCTCGGGTATCATCATACGGATTACGTTAGGTACTTGAATAACCTCACCAGACGAAAGCTTGAGATGTTTTTGCCCAAATGGAAGGTCCTGAACAAGATGCGGGCTCGTGATGAAACCAAGAAAGTGGTCAAGCTGCCTCAAGTCTACTCGTATTCGTGTGGTAGGCTGTTGTGGAACTTGAGTGCCTCGGCCAAACTGTGATCGATGAAGATTAGCCATGGAGTATCGGTATCTTGTCAACCCCGGGATATAACGGGAAATGTCGTTGAAAGTTCCAACCCCTGCCATAATCGAAAGCACTTGTCTACGGGTATCCCAGCTGGTTGCATTCTGGTACGCTTCTGCTAGGGCCTCTAAATACAAATGCTCTGAATGTGACAACTCGCTTACACCTAGGGCCTTGTTCATAGCCGTAGAAGAGGCTAAACGTCGCCAGAGTTCACCAGCATTATCAGGGGTGACGCTCTTTAGCACAGTTGCAACTATTTCTGTGGCTCTCCTTGTTTGACGTTGTCTTGTTCGCTCAGAGGAACCACTCCAAGAAAGCCATGGCATTCCAAGCGGTTCAAGTTTGCATGCTGCCAGGAACTCACTCAGCTTTTCGCGCGGCTCATGTAAGATCACAGGTGTGGGCTCGTCACTCTGAGTGGAAGCTGTGCTTATTGTGTCTGGTGACAGAAAGGTGTCATCAGCGATTGTTAGACGTCCAAGGCTTTCTGCGAACTCTTCAACAGATTGACCGGTATCACTTTGTCCTGGAGATGAGTTTGAGCTGTTCTGTAACATACAAAAAAGACGTTTAGACATCAATGTTACTTCAATATTTCTGTTTATTTTGTCACTAGGCATTAGTTTTTTTTATTATAGTTCGAAACTTAAGTTATACATCATTTAAAAAAAAGAAAATATGAATTTACATGCATACCGCTATCATTATCAATACTCCCGCTCCAGCCAGACCGAAAGGAATTTAAAGAAACGAAAAGTGACCTATTCGTCTTAAAATCATTTTCAGAGTCATTTTCAAAGTTTACAGTTATTCACAGTTACCCAGCCCTTTCGGAATTTTGGCATTTGTTATGTTGGAATAACTGTCTGTATCCAAGGTTACCGTTTACTTACTTACATTTGCTTCTGAAGTCTCTAGTTATACGCATGGAGTAACTTCAATCATTGGTGCGGGTGTCACTTTCTGTTGTTGGTTTGTCTCCGCGGAATGTTGTTTGCACATTCTGCAAAGAGCTGTAGCAAAAATAAATGTTAACCTTGTTAAAAGGCCATCGCCGATTTCTTTACTATTCTTCAAAGCCATTTTTCTTTTTGGGGGGGGGAACAGGAGAATAAAGGGTATTGTAACGCTTGCGCATATGTTGCTTTACGCCCTCGCTCGTTTAAAATTAAAGCGTATACTTTAGCTACAAATGTGTTACGATAAACTTACGCGATCCAACTTGAATAAGTATTCCTTCAGTGTTTAAAATAAATGCAGATAGAACGCTGTCCAAATGCCGATCGCCTTTGACCGAGGCTGTTTTGTGAGCAGCTATTTCTAGTGGAATGCTACACTTCACTTTTGAGGATCTCCAGCGCATATCAAATTCCGCTCTGTGGCGAGGGCATATTGTCAATGACAAGTGGGACTCTCCCACTGCAAATACCCCTAAACAAAGGTAAAGGAAAATTATCCATGGCATACATTACGAGCGAGTTGAGAGGCTCGTGTGCTAGGAGATCTCGAGGTCCTCTTTTTCATAAAAAAGTCTTTAAAGTCTGTGTATCAGTGACAGGTGTGTGTGCGTGGGTGGCGGAGCGGGGGGGGGGAGGGGGGTGGTGAATAAAGATCTTTTTTGCTATCGTAAGCGTTAATATTAGGTTTGCAAAATATTAACGCCGCGGATAAAAGCCTGCGATTTTTAAAGAGATGAACTCATTTGCTTATCGTTCTTGCAAGCAGGATACAAAAGAGCGGTACATAAGTACTAGGGACTATAATTTTGTCAAATGGAAGAGGACATTTCGGTTCAACCGACCGAAATAACCTGACCGGTCAAAGTGGACCAGCTTCAAAGGCGTTCCCAAATATTCTGGTAGGACCGAACCGAAATGGTCCATTCCATTTGATTTCTAACCGAAACTTGCGGAATTTTGGGCTGAATGGAAAGCACCCGAAGATTTTCTTAGAATAACATGACCATCGTGAGGTCTGTGATAAAGAGATGATGGAAATGTACACCACTATTAGCCGCTACGTAAGACGGTAAGACAGTACATAAGATTTACCTGCTCTTGCTAACAGCAGTTTCCATTCAGTGTCAAGTGCTGTATCTGCTTTTAATCCATACAGCTCGCAGTGCCTCGAAATGTCCCTTGTACAATTTCTTAAAGCGAGAACTTCAACTTGGCCTGGATAATCGCTGCTTAAACCACAAGGTGTGGCGTCGTGTAATAAACCAGTAAAACTACATGAGTGAAACGTTGCCGAAGCCATGACAAAAAACAAACCTCTCCCAACAAACGAGACAAACTCCGCTAACGCTGTTTCGGTATTCGTAATACTAGACGGGAATAATTCAATTAAAAATAATATCGTAGAGGCACGTGCAATAGTAAGTGGCGAAACAGTTCGTGACAATATATAAATTTTATTCCAGGAGCATTTGACCTGGAAATGTTTTATTAATATTGTTCCTAGAGTCGAATATTTCTACACTGATGATCTATAAACAGACGTACGGTTGTACATTTTTTCATTGGGACAGCTGTAATTGCTTCTTTGTCTGTTTACATTGTGTACGAAGTATAGCACGTACCGTCATATGCGACAAGCTAGCGTGAGCAATCTCTGCACGTTTGCTAAATTACACGTCATATGATCTTGTTATCCCGTCTAGTATCTGATTTGTTCGCTCAATAAGAATAATACTCACCTTGTTAACTGTGTGGTTTGAGCAGTGGTTAATTTTCATCATTGTATGTTATTTTCGGACCAAAACATAATCGGGTTTCATTATTATTAAAGCGTCTGATAATGCGTAATAAGCGCTGCGTGGGAAGTGTTTAGATAGCTCAAGCGCTGAAGTTGCTGGACACATTTTGGTCAAAATCAGGTATGGATGAGTTGCCACTTCACAGAACAAACAGATTGAGAGATGGATTTAACTTCTATCGCAACAAGCAATGGTAAGTTGTTCGTTCAACAAAACTTTGCGTTAAAAATATGAATTCATTCAGCGGGCCGTCTAATTTGCATAAATTTTATTTACTCAGATACTCAAATTGCTTACTTTAGTGTGAGGACTATATTGGATTTCCAGAGCTAAAACTTTCCAGTAATTTAGTTCAATAGCCAAGGTTTTATTCTATATGGGTTTTACTAGGAAGCAGCATATACCAGTGGCCTTTTACAACAGTTAAAGTTCGCCTTCATTTATTAACATTTCCAGGGATACAAATTTGACCTTTTTAAACTTGTCGATTGTAAATGTTAAAAACTTCTTTCTTCAAATTTCTTTTAGGAAATTAAAGAGTAAGTACGAAATAATACTCGGCTGAAGTTTCGATGTTAGGGATTGTTTCTTATGCGTTCACCGTTTTCTCGAAGTTGCGGTCGGATTTTGTTCTTTTGAGTACGAAAAACCAGCAAAAAATCGATTTTTCAAACTTTTTGTAATTTCTCCCGTACAATGAATCGCTTGAACCCAAAATTATTTTTCTTCAATAAGGTTACTAAAAGGGATGTTTTGGCGAGAGGAAAAAAAATTCGTTTTTTTCACGAGTGTCATGCGATTTTCGATTTTCTCGGAAAATGGCTCTTAAGCTTCCACTGATGTTCATTAAACATGTAAGAGTGTGTTAAAATGGTTCTCAAGGTTTGGCAGCAACTGCAATAGACACATCTCCATGATTGCTACCCAAGTTTAAAATTTATGACCGAAAAAAAACATATCAATGAAAAAACTTTGTTGCGTCATAAGGCATAAACTAGCCAGACTTATGAATAATTTTGAGACACCTAATGCAACTTTTTATCTCTATAAGTTCAAAACATTTTAGATGAAAAAATAATCATGATCAAATAAAAATATAGAATGGTGCTTTTTGCAGATTTTACAGATGAGTCAAGCTGTTTTGGCGGGAACTTTGCATCGATCATTATCGCCCAGCAGTTAGTTTTCAACATTCGGAGTTTCCACTTAGCTGACATGCACTTAAAGCAGATAAAATGATAAAAGGTTATGAGGGTTATTTTCCCAACCAAGCTTTTGTTCCGTCGGTTTTATTCCCTTACAAAGAAAAACTTCGAATGACTCATTTATTCGAGCAGTTGACAAGAACGAACGCGGAAATCAAAATGGCGGCTTTTTAACGTTTGCCTCATATCTAATCAAGGAATCGATCTCAATAAGCATGGAGTTCCAAATTTTCTGTCTTAATAAAGAAGATAATTTAAAATAAACTTCTGGGATTGGCTGCTTCAATGCTAAAAACGCTATAACCACGCCGGGTCAGCTGTCGGCAATTTTTGGTCACGCTATGTCGCCAAAGATGGCGGTCTGGCCGTTGTCATAACTGATAGCCCTGGGAACTAGTTTTGAACAGTATATACAGAGCCCGTGTTGCTGTCTGGGAAAGTCCGGAATGAATTGAAAGCAGTATGCTGCAAAAATAAGAAGAACGAGCTTTATTTTGATACTAAATTCAACGGCAAAAGTTAAATGTGTGAATTTTCCTTTGTCTTCGCTTTCGCCCCATCATGGTGTCGTAAGGAACTAATCTGAAAATGGCTAACTTCAGCTTCAAAAGGCTTTTTCGTTCTTCTGAACATAGCATGAAGTGTTGCAAAAATGGAAACTACAAACCTTCGGTAAGAAACGTATGTTTCTCGTTTTGGGGATTCGCTTCACTTTTTCAGAAATATTGCTTTTTTTATGAGTGGTTTGTGTCAGACTCTGGCACGAACAGACCGGTACTCAAATGATTAAGACTTACTTTCTGAACCTTCAACACTGGTGATATGCCTCTCAAGCGACAGCAATATGACCGCATTGCTGCCGGGCAATACACGAAGGCAAGGAAAAGCTTGCAGGAGGAGTTCGCCCGAGAGAAAGCCAGCCTTTCTCAGCTTTCAAAAGAGGTGAAAACACTTCAGCGAAAAGTTCAGAGACTGGATGATAAGGTAAACAAATTAAGAATGACTGCCTTCTGTTTGAAATGAAATTAATACGACTAGAATCCGCTCTCGCTACTGTATGATTTCCCTAACTTATTAAAAAGTATTCTTTGAAATCTATCGGTGATTATTTAGTCTATATGTTTCACTATTTAGTCTTATCAGCCCTTTATTAAAACACATCGACCTCATTTTGTAACATAATCCAGTAAGAAATTCTTCCAAGACAATCACAATACAAATAGACGTGCAGGTGAGGAGAAATCGGGTTTTGATCTTGTAAACACTGTTACGTGTTAAGTTTTGTTGTTGAAGGCCAAGCGAACCAAAATTGCCAAATTCAATATGAAAATGCACACTACTGCATGCAATTTAATATTTGGAATATAATTAACATATCTATATACACAAACACAGAATCTTTTAGCTCTGCAAGTTTTGACAGCAATGTTTTTGAGACATTTTATTAACAGACGTAAGGTGTAAAATGTGGAGATTTCTAAGCTTCTGGAATATTTTCAGAAAAAAGGACTGACTGAGAGTTAACAAAAAGAAGTTCACAACCCAGAAGGTGAAATAAAAATATATTGTTATGTCATGTTTGTTTGAAAATAATAATTATAGGCAGGAACAAGAGAAGTCAGGGTATTTCATTATGATACGGGGTAATTTCTCTTAGTTTTATGCTGAGATGATAACTGAAACATAATGTGCAATTGTGAATATAATGTAGGGATATTTTCTGGATTACAGTATTAGAGGTGGCCATCGTCTCAAGTGTATGACACCATTCTATCTGACAATACAGAATTAGAAGCTATGAAAAAACAACAGGGCATAATCGGTGGTCTCTTTTTCTGAACAGTGACTCATGTACATCCACCAACTAACACTGTCTCACCTGAGACATTAGAGCGTAGATGTAAAGAAACATTTGAAGCTGCCATGAAGATTCATGGAGGAACAATTTCTAATAAAAGACCTGCACTTGATGGTCTCTACCACACCATATCTAAAAAGTGCAAAACCAGTGTTCTAGGTGATTTTGTATTATCTAACAGTAGGGTTACAAATTATATCATCAAGCAATGTAAAAAAAATCAGTTGGCAGAATTTGAATGTTCAAAAGATAATGTATCGCTTAGCATAGCTACTTACTATACATCTGGGGTAATGGGGAAAAGGAAATACCAAGCGGTGAGGCTAACATCATCAATGAAGTCCAGTGATGCAAAGAGGGGGGGTAAAACAGCTATCAAGTTTATGCCAAACTGTCCCATACCAAAACCTTTTACTTACAATTCTCTTGTGAATGAAATAAAAAAGATTGATGTAGAAAAGGTCTATTCCATGGAAGAAGAATTCTCTACAGACGTAGATGATGAAAATATTATTGGGTGCTTTAGAGACTTAAGAGAGTATTTGCCCTGACTAGCAAAATTTTATTTGAACATGCAAGGGAAACGCAAAGGTGCATTAAAATGGTTTGGAGAAACAGAGGGTAGGTTTCTTGTTGCATTTGGGGGGGATGGATGCCCTTTTGGTAAAAACGAATCTGCTTGTTCGTTCCTTATCAGCTTTCTTAATGTTGGAAAGAGAGTGGCATCCAGCAGTGACAATATTTTAGTCTTTGCGGGTAATGTAGAGGAGACCTCCCTTATTGTGAAAAAGTACATTAACTTTGTATGTAAACAAATCAAGGATTGAAAGGGATGTGAAAAGGCTGAAATTTTCAGGCATGAATTTATTATATTGGTTGGGTTACCTGAGCAGCATCATGAACCTTGTTCTTACACTCCTAGCAAAAACGATTACATTCCTCAAAGGGTTTTTAATGACAGTAACTACTGCTACTGTGGAGTACATAAAGCTGATCCTACTGATAAGAGCTGCTGTTTATGTAGTGATCATCTCATGGCACTAATTCATAAAAGTGTGAAAGAAGGAAAATTGTTGCAGAATTATCCTAGTTTCAGATAGTGTTAATACAATCAAACGAAGGTGAAGTGAATTGAATTGTCAAACGAAGTCACCACATGGCGTGAACTGAATTAACATCTTCACGCCGAAAGATAAGGGTGATTCAGAAGGCTTCCAAACAAACTTTGAAACATTTCCTTTTTAACAAGCATCTGTCACAATCTGACAAATGACTGACATTAGAAAGCAGTGGTGAATTTGTGTCACTACATTCTATCACTAAATGTTAACAGTACATGACTCCTTCAGCCCTAAAGTAATAGACTTATAACTTCTCAAAGAAGAAAAAAAGAAAACTTGTATCAGCTTGCTCCAGGTGCTCTATAGCATATTTAGTTTTTAATTGGGAAAAGAGGGATTACAGGAGTGCTACAACAGTTCCAATAGACTGAAAATCAAGTACATCAGCTATAATTTAATTGTATCAAAACACTTAAAAATAGTCTCATTCCAACAGCCATAATTGCAAGTGAGAGTTACCTGCTTTCGCTTGCGATTATAGGCTAGTACAAAATGCTTCTCCCTGCCCACAAGTACCTCTGTCTTAAAGCCTTTACGGTTCCCCCCAAATGTTTTATTGAGCTTCCCCGCAACTTCACTCCTAGGGAGGCCAGAAAACTTCGAAATCACAGAGGAGGCGATTTCTATCAGTGTATTTTATCATATTTTTCTCCACAGATACTCCAAATGTTGAAGGTGCCCCTTGCACGGACTTCATTATAATTTCAAACATCTCCTTTCATTATGCTCTGCCTGCCTACTTAATGCAAGAACTAGAGCGCGTTCAGAAAAGGGCAAAGCGAATCATCTGCCCTGACATGGAATATCAGCACGCGTTAGCGCTAACGAACCTACCGTCCGTAGGGAGCATCATAGTGATATTTGCAAGCGTACGTTTGAAAGCATTTTCAATGATAGCAGCCATAAACTCAGGAAATTACTGCCACCCCTACATGAGAGCAAGTACAATCTTAGGCACGCGTGGTCCTTCAGCATAACGCGCTGTAAAACAAACAGATTTAAGAATAGTTTTATTATGGCTTCATGCGCCATAGTGGATACTGTTTAAGAGAGAATTTTTCTGGAGACCGCGTGAAATCAAAAAAATGTGGCACATGCCTAGAAAAAGCCCTACCTTCATACTTCGCTCAAAGATACCTTAGGGTAAGTCTATAAACGTGGTATAATTTTTTTGTTCAGAACTGTTTTTATTTTCTAGAAAATCACCAAACACTGTATCGAGCCCCAACCGCCATAACAGTGGCCGAAATGAAGCCGACGAGTAGGGCAACAAAAACGTTATTCTTCAAAAGCGCAAAAGAAAGCAAGTCTTTCCGAATATTATCTATTTGTATACGAGGTATTAAAAAATGATTTCAATCTAATAACGGGATTATTGACATAACTATGAATTATTGGCGAATATTTGAAAATCGCCAAAATTTGATTGATTAAAAATTTCATTTTGGAGCAGTTTTTCAATAAAAATTTTTCCTACTCGGTATAACTCGGAATCACTTGAGATGAGCATTTCTGAAAATTGGAAACGATGTTCTTTTCAAGGATATAAAAATTAATTTGGGGCTCTTAATTACTGCGAAGAAATAGCCCGATCTATTTCGTGCAAATCGCAACGCCGCCGTGTAAATAACCGCAGATAATCCAATTATTCTTTTATTATCGAAGCCATAATTTCTGCAAATCTTACCGCTTTGAGCTGTGCTTCATCAGAAACTCAATATGTTACCCTTACCTTCTGAAACCAGTGATTAAGGAGTGATGTTTTCATTATTTTTGTTTCAAATCGCCATGTTCACTTGAAAAGTGTTTACAACGTCCGGCTTGACCATTTACAATACTCGAAGCTGTTCATAAATCATCGCAGACCATCGCAACTCTTGACTTATTTCTGCTTCCATACAACTCCAGTATATACAAAAGTCTTTTTGCACGATAAACCAAGATGCTTTGATTGCTTACAGTTTCAGTTAAGAAACGTTTGACTCCCCAAATGGCACAACGATGGTCACCAACGAGGTCGTGTGTCATCACTCATGTTTGTCACGCAATCACGCTAAACGTGCACAGGACACCCAGACAGGCATTCGTCTGCAGACATCGCTGTACCGAATGCAGGGCCAACTAATATTTATTTCTTAGTCAGTGTTATGTTTTAAACAAAAACCTGCGCGAATTCACTTAAAAAACGCTGTAGATCTCTTTTGAGTGTTTTGAATCAGTGCCATTCTGAAAAACTACTCTTTGACGTTTTCGTAAATTTAGTCACCCCCTGGTACTGACTATATACATGCGTTGTTATCGACTCTATTTCCACGACTTCGCGCTTGCAAAGATTATATTTATCAATAGGCACTTTAAGCATGAAGTTTAACGGCAAACGGCAAACGGCAAACGGCAAACGCAAGCTTGCCTTTCATTTTGTTACCTATTTATGGAATTCTTAAAAAAATCCTGCACAAAAAATAAAATAAAATAAAATATCACATTCACGACAAACACAAACCTACTTAATTCCGTGTACACACGCCTAAAGACAGACGACAGAAATTGAATTTTTGACGTTCGCGGGAAAAACAAACGTCATGCGTAACCTCTCAAATGACGAACTTCCCAGTTAACTAAAACAACTGGAAGTTAATTGTCTAGTGCTCATCACCTACGTGAGGCTCAATTTGACCTTGTTTTGATACAAACCCTGTTACTTTTGATATGCAAATCCTTTAATTGTTATGCTAACCAGTTTTTGATCTCTATCGTGTCAAGGTCAACACAAACCTCGCTTTCATACAGAGGCCTGGTTAAATATCACAGAACTGTAAAATGGTCTATTGACAGAGACAAAAACAGTTTTTTAATCCTACCCTCCCTTTCGCTTTTCCAATCACCTGCCCGTCCCCTCGTACCAACAACGCAACAACGCAACAACGTCCCCTAAATCTATCACTCTTCCCTAAGAGCGGTTTTGCGGTGTAGTGAGTGGCCCTGAGCCCCTGACCAAAATAAATATCTAGGTCCCAGGCCGCACGGTGAGATAAGGAAAGAAGTGTATTAGTTTTTGGCGACAAGAAGTTAACAAAAAAAAGAAAACTCACTAATAAAAAATAATTTGATTAAACTAGCTCACGCTACAAAATTAAATGGCTGGTTAAATGTGTGCTTCAGTGGTAGTACTAATTTAAATGTGCCAATTTTGTTTTAACTAGTAACTTCTTGTCCTGTTTGTCATAGCGTCCTATTGTAAATTAACAACATTACAAAGACTTACCAGACCCAACAGGGAGGAATATTCCCGTGCGTCGAAGGATTGCCTTCGAAAGCGCTTTGTTTATACCACGGTCACCCTTTCGTGATTTCCCTTCCTTGACATGCCTCGATAATTCGGATGGAACACGGCACCGTTGCGAGCCTCTTCGCCATCCAGTGCCCAAAGAGGAGCGATGGGCTGGGCAGATAGTCATGTCCGAAATATTGGAAGGCAACGTGAATATCGATGCCCGTGCTAAAATGAGATCGACTTCCGATTCAACATCATTCACGCCCACAGCCTGTTTGTGTGCTGAGATGTCTTTCTCACATAAGCGCAGAGGGACTATAAGAGAAGCTTTTCCTGCAACTCGACTTCGCTTATCTTGGGAGCAGCATCCCCCCACTAATCTTTGAAAGGAGCAATTGATTTCCATTTGGTACGCTCACCTCTTAAAAAAATCGGCGGCCAAACGAAAACACCATTTTAGTTTGCTTTGGAAAATTTATGGAGCGACGCTCATTATATGGTTAGAAACTGTGCCTAATCTAATTTATTTTTTTAGCGCTGAGTATTTTAGAAAGCTACTCCCAGTTTAATTTTTCCACTCCCGCACCTGTCTACCCTGCAAGCCGTCACAATTTACAAAATAGGATAACACATTTTTTTACTTCGATAAAAATTATTGCAGTGAAATTTCCTCTATGCTGTAGTAACATATACCTAATTCATTTAGCAGTCTAGGGTGACGCATGAGTGGTATCGCGCTTAAAAAATGCAAACAACGGTAATTTTAAATTCTGGATTTAAAACTTTTTCCCGGAAATAAAAAATAGGGGATAAGAAGGAAAGAAAATAAGTATATTGATAACCGAGCCTCCTTTCGAGTGACATGTTATTGCGTGACACCATCGCAAAAAACGAACGTCAATGATTCATTTCATCTGTCAGGATGCTCTGGCTCGTTCTATAAAAAACAAACTTCCATTCTTATTGTGAAAGGAAGACTTGTAAAATGTGAGTGTTCCAAGCTGAAATATGGTTATAACTGTCCAGCAATGCGACGTTTCCGGCAGGAACCTTCGTGAGATGTTTTCACTGTGATTTGGTATACACCGCCTGTAGTGCTGTACTATCGAAGCTGTTGTCAAGTCTCTTTATAACAAGATTGAGGCAAGGAACCAATCTTAGAAAGGTGTTTTTCGCCAGGTGAGCTTAATAAATCCAGTTTACAACCTAGTATAGGTCAAAGCGATAAGATTTTGTTGGAATTATGGCTTCGATAATAAAAAGCCTAATTGGATTATCTGCGGTTGTTTACATGGCGGCATTGCGATTTGCACGAAATAGACCGGGCTACTTCTTCGCAGTAATTAGGAGCCCCAAATTAATTTTTATATCCATGGAAAGAACATTCTTTCCACTTTGTAAAAATGCTCATCTCAAGTGATTCCGAGTTATACCAGGTAGGAAAAATTTTTATTGAAAAACTGCTCCAAAATGTAATTTTTAATCAATCAAATTTTGGCTATTTTCAAATATTCGCCAATAATTCATAGTTATGTCAACAAGCCCGTTATTAGATTCAAATCATTTTTTAATACCTCGTATACAAATAGGTAAAATTCAGAAAGACTTGCTTTCTTTTGCGCTTTTGAGGAATAAAGGTTTTGTTGCCCTACACGTCGACTTCATTTCGGCCATTTTATGGCGGTTGGGGCTCGATACAGTGTTTGGTGATTTTCTAGAAAATAAAAACAGCTCTGAACAAAAAAATTATTCCACGTTTATAGACTTACCCAAAGGTATCTCTGAGCGAAATATGAGGATAGTGATTTTTCCGATCATGTGCCGCCTCCCACGCGGTGATAAAAAAAATTCGCTCTTAAATTATTAGACTTTTAACAATATGATTTCAACAAGATGTTTATAGTTTTTAAATGTTTTAGATATTATTATCATTAGCATGTGCATTCGCTTGATTTTGTTGTTGTTGTTGTAGGTTCCTGTTGAGCATTTAAACTCCACGAATCTCGATGACATTGCAAGGTCCTCACATTAAGATTAGTCAGTGAAAAAAACCAGCGACATCATGTCGTATGGCTGTATTAGGTTAATATGACGATTGCTGTCAAAGGAGCTGTTAAAGGTCTAGGACAAGATGCTATCGCACTGTGATACCAAGGACTTCCTCTGTTTGTACTTGTCTTGCAATTTCCTGATGTATTTCTTGGCTGAAGCAGATTGGAACGTACATTAGACAATTTGAATTTTTTTTTTTAATTTTTCTCTACAATAAAAGGAGAAAATTTGCAGGGAAGCCAATACATTAATTGTGCTTTGGCATCTTTTGGTTACTTTTCTCTATTGTATTTCTTGTACCGACAGGTTAAACGTACCTTCATTGCTTTGAAGTCTTGCCACTCAATTTCTCTTGTTGAAAGGGACGAAATCTAGTGGAAAGCCTCTGCTAGGTTGTTGCTAGAGCATGTTTCAGAGCATGTTTCTTGATATGACATTATTTCATTCTTTCGCTGCTCTCTCATCTTGAGGAGTGGCTAAAAATTTGTTTTTCATGCAAACACTAGACTAAGTACATTTATCACGGTGTTCATTACTGAAAACAATAAAAAAAACTACTGTTGTTTACCTTTGTTTTCTCTGTAAAAGAATAAGATAATCAATTACCGCAGCTTACCTAAAGTTGTGGTCCATTTCTATTTTGGATTGGAATAATATTTTACAAGGAAACAAACTACGCAAGTTGCGTGCTATTCTCTGTTTATTTGTTATTGGAACCGTCCTGGAATGATCTCATGACAAAACCTTTAAAACCGCACTTGCTTGGCAGTTTTCAAACCAATCTAATCCTGGCGGTTGGAGTTGCAGTACCATTTCCCTCCTAATCATAAAGTCATGATATCCTTCATAGAAAAAGGATTTCTTTCCGCGCTTTTGGTGTGCTTGATGCAAAACGGCGTCATCGAAGGTATTTTTAATTTTCAATATTCGATTTGTATTCAAACGATTCCTCTCGAAAGGTCCCGAAACCTCTCAAACTATCTTCACTGACTATCAGTTAACAACTTTTACGTTGGACTTAATTATCAAACGGTACTTTTCTATCAGTACCAAAATGATTGCTTGATGTATCTTAAAGCTCTTGTGATCAGTGTTGCCTTCAATAACCGTTACGTTTTTTAGAGAATAAGTAAAATACGCGCCCCACCCCTGAATTTAAGGCCCATTCACTTGGCGTCGCTAATGCTGAGACATTTCATAGAGCTGAGGCCTGGCAATACAACGAAAAATATTAGGTAGCGTCGAAGGATTCAGATTCCCAGAGCAATATCTCAAAGTCAGTTTTAGTCCTCTCAAGATTATCACTTACCATAAGCAAGCTTTCTTCAAATGAAATAATGCTGCTGAAAAATAAGAAAAAAACCTCAAAAGTACACGTTTCCTTTATAATTCACAATTGCTTGGTTCTATACTCGTTTCATTCATCATCGACTGCCTTGTAACATTCAACGCGTTTTTGAATAAGTATGGAGAGTGGGAATAGAAAACATCCCGCAGCAGGTCACGTAGCCGTTATACTCCACTGATACTTCATGTATTCAAGGTTAACTCTTCAATCCTTTGACATCCATTGTTTCGAGTATTGTCTCTTGTTTTAACGTTGCTCTCTCATCTCATGGCATATTGACCTTCATTTCCTTTTAGAGATGAGATGGGATGAGATGTGTAGTGCGCTAGTCACTGCACTCGTAATATTCTCTAATTTTACTCATATTTCCGATGAAAAGAAAAAAAACAACTGCTTTAGTCGAGTGCAAGACCAGATTACAGTTTTAGCATGTGATGTGTAGTGTGCTAGTCACTGCACTTGTAACATTCTCTCGTTTTAGTCATATTTCCGATAAAAAAACAACTGTTTCAATCGAGCGCAAGACCACATTTCAGTTTTAGCATAATCTAGAAAAAATGTCGTTGGCTTTCGTAATTGACTGACTTTTGTAGTTTTATTTTATATTTGCTTTCAGTTAACTCGGCGAAAATGAATTAACAAAACAAATTTATGGAGAAAACAAACAACAGGCAAACTTGCTTTCCATCACCCTTTCCACTTCTGGCATAGATGAGTTTTCTGAAGATACATTGAGTCACGTTCCAAAGCCTCACCACAAACAAAATTTGAGATACCAATCTAGGCTAGACCTAGTCAAGGGTCAGGCCCGATAATTGAAAAAATACCGAGTTTTCAACTCTCACATTTCATTGTTTAAACGCACTGATTTGATTTTTTTCGAGCCTTATATTTTAAGTGTAATCCCTTCAACACAGCACTCGTATTTTTGCTAATTCTGATTTTAAAAAAAATGCTCTTTACGCCATTTTAGGCGTTCAGAGGGGTAAGATTGACATGCAGGTGAGAAATGGTGACCTAACTTGCCAGTACGTGTCATTCAGCAGCAAATTCTCAGGAGATGGAACTCCCGTCAGAGTATTTGCTTCAATTAATCATGGAAATAAATCATCAGGGGTCCATGATTTAGCTTTCATTTGGATCGAAGATGTTACAACGAGCCGTTTCAAGGCCTGTCTCGTACAAAGTGGCAAAAACTTAGAAAGTAACAGCACTATGATTGATTGGTTTGCATTCCAAGGATCACAAACGGGAGTATCTCATGGCCAAGCTATTTTTAGTTTTTTCACAACTGGATCACAATGCAATCGGGTTAAATTCACTCAGGTATGGATAACTAAAGCATTATAGTCGCTGAGTTCATAATCTAGTCTCTCAACATCTTGTGATGTCCCCTTCCGCTAAAAACACCTTTCGTCCTCCCTTTCTTACCCAGTTCTATCTGTTTCTTCTGGAATTTCTCTACTTCTTCTTTCTGTGTTTCTCATCAAGTTTTTCGTTTCTTAAGTATTCCTATCAACAGTATTTCCAATCTTTGCCTTTGCAGTATTTCTTTCTTCGTTTCTGTTATCTTTGTGCACTCATCTATTTTTCTTTTTTATTTCTTTTAAATAAGCCGTTTACATCGATACCCAAAATTCACGTGACAGTACAGCATGGTACTCTAAACCAAGTTCAGGACGCCATGAATATTTGGATTGCAAACGTCTCTACGAATCATTTTGAAGTTTGTCTACAGGAATCGACGACATTCGACGGCCTTCATGATAAACTCTTAGTGGTATGTTGAACATAGCAATTACAAAACAGTTATCACACGGTCAGGAAGTCTATGATATCTATTTTTCTTTTTGCAGAACTGGATGGCCTACGAACATTACCCACTATCCTGGGAGGCAAAGGAGTCCTCAGCCGTAAGTTTTTCCGAAAATGAGGTACCATCTACAAGAGACAGTTACGCCTTGTGTAAGGTATGAATTACCCCACGTTAAACTGCTATCAACTTCATCACATAGAAAATAATCAAATTATCTCTGCCAGATAAATCAGGAGCTGAGAGCACAAGCGTAATTTTTCGATATGTACCAACGTCATACATGGTCATCTAACTCCAAACGGAGAAAAATAGAAATATATCAAATTTAGGAGCTCTACCGCTTATTATAAAATTATGAAGATGAAAGCAAACTTTTTAAAGGTTTTAAGACCTTATGGAATGTGTTCCCCCCAATAGATTCCACCATAAATCCTCCAATAGCAAACCTTCAGTAACAGTCAGCTTTTCTGGGGGAACCCTTCATCATTTAATTCCAGCATTGCCATTCTTCGGGAGACGGAGAAGTGGCAACACTGAACGGTCTTTACATGGAACAATGTGAAGCAACAAGCTTAAAAAGAATTAGGCATAAAAATATATAATTTGTGCCAACTTCCATTTTTCAGAATGTCACTTTTTCGATTCCATTTTACTCTGCACCTTTGTTAATTACAACTGTCATCAATGGTGACGGTAACAATGCAAACAACGCTTGCTCAGTGAAAGGGCCTATAATCACTTGGCTGGAGGTGAGATGGTAAAATATTCAGACACTTATATCATTAGACCTTATATGGAAACCAGGAATTAGAAGATCAAAACAATTTGGGTTTCAGCCAATGACAGAAATGAGTAAAACAAAAACAGAAACCAAAATTTGCGAAGTAAAAAATCAGGCAACCGCTACTACATGGTTTTTGGAGGGTTTTTACTTGGTACATGGGACAGCCAGGACTCAAGTTAAAATCTCATTAAATAGTTTAAAAAACAATTGTATATGAATTGTCAACATTAAATTAAATTAAAACAGAACTAAGTTTCTTTGTAATCTAAATCAGCCCAGAGAGTGACGTGGTAGGTCTCTTCTGATAATATGACAAGTTTTACAAAACCACTATCGTGCAATTTTTCAACATTTTTGGTGAAACTTAAGGAGGACGACAGTAATTGAGTTATACCCACGTAGCGGTCAGAAGACTTGCTTTGACCTTATGTTTTTACCACATTTTTTCGCCTTTCTTTCTTTAAAGGAAGTGACTACCTCTTACTTTCGAGTTTGTATAAAGGATAGTGCCGGATATGATGGTCAGAGAAGCAAAGTACTTGTTGATTATTTGCTTTTCGGAGGTAAAATTTTATAATATAAATATCATTAAATTTACCAACTGAAATACATTTAGCTGATTTCGACGATGTTAGCCATCGCAAAAGGCATTAGGGTTTGGTTTCGCGCAAAACTCTTAATAAACTCTCATCGAGTAAGTGTTTGTAAGCAAAGAATTCCAAGAATTACACAAAAAAAATTTTCAGAAGATGATAGTTATTTTAGATAAAGATAACAATTAGATCAAGGAAACCAATTAATTTCAATTTAGAACACGTTATCTTCGATTACTCTTTTTACTGTGACACCTTAAATTGTGTGTACTTCAGTTTGCTGTAGGTGCAGAAACCAATCCCCTTCCTAGCCCCAGTCCGCACGGCCATCTATATAGCTTTGAATTTTCGCGCGGATCTTGCAAATAAGAAAGGTCTGAGCTCGTGTAAAGGTATTCGCAAGTACATTCTTCAGCAGTATTTCAAAAATCGTCAGGTAGATTGCTCTTTCGTCGAGTGTCCCGTGTTCCTTATGTTAGTAGTATTGCCTTGGTTGTACATATTTCTTGTTATTTGTATTTCCTATGTTATTTCTGATCTTGTAATTAGTCGTTCCGTTCTTGATGTACTATGTTCGTAATACTTTACTTAGAACCCACTGGTAATGGCGTGGAAATTAAACTCCTCTTAAGCTTATCGCTGGTGCGTTGGTTATAGTAGGTATCAAGTAAATTTCAAACATTCATTTTCGGAGCTGCGAAAGACTGGGACAACCGATTGGCGCATTGAAAAAAAGGAAATGTTTCGTCTATTTTCAAAGTAAAAAAATGAGAAATTTCCTAGAAAATTTTAATTATCTTTAAGCAATACTTCTAATCTTGAGACTATATCATTTGCAGATTGTAAAAGTTGTTCTCTTTTAAGATGTTAATAGCAAACTTAACCATTTATTAATTTTATTGAGGCATTTACTCATTTTATCGAGGCCCACTTAAGACCGTTTTGGCGAGTTGGGTTCCCTTTTTAAATATAAGTGGCTTTATTATTATCTTTACAATTACCATCATCATCGTCATGCTTACTATAAACACAATAATCAATATCATTATATGGAGTGGAAGAGAGCTAAAAATATTTGCGTGAGACCCTTAACGTATACTCCGCTATTTGCAATCTCCCGTCTACTAATAACTCTACCGGTACCGTTATGTACTGAAGCTTTTGTATTCAGCTTTTGCTCTAAACAAATGAATATGTCAATTGCAGATCTCGATCCTTGTTCGAATGCAAGTTGCAAGTATCACAGCCATTGTGTATCCTTGTCTCCGAACCAATTTACTTGTGCTTGCGAAGGCAGTTGTCCATCGTATGAGGAACAGGTCTGCGCATCTAACGGTCGCACATTTACCAACTTGTGCCTTCTCAAGCAAGAAATTTGTAGAACACGTGGGAATTACACTAAGTATCATCCTGGAAGCTGTATAGGTACATTCTTATTCAAATCTAAAACCTTTAAATCGGCTTAGTATTTGTTTTAAGGCCATTTATTTTAGAGCCTTTTTCTGATGGCTCGAACATTAAAAGAAATACTAAATTTCTTTTTCTTAAATGTCCCACGTTCAATAAAAGTATTAAGTATCTTAATTTAAAAATCTTGCTTTGTTGGACCCTGAACACCAAGCGTACACCAACAAGGAGAATATTTTGCGCGTCTGCCGTTGCTCGCAAACTTTTCGAGGAGAGACTACCCGGGCTTTTACTTAAGGAAACCATCCTGATAGCTAGCTTTACTTTTACATTTTAATAGAAATGGTATAATGGACTGTTAAATTATTGCCCTTAAAAAAAACTTACGATGGTGATCTGAGCCATGACTTAATATATATATATATATATATATATATATTATTATATTTTAACCGGAGGGCTCAAAATTTTGCATCTTCCCTATTCTAATAATAATTGTGTACTTTAGGTTTCCCTCTTCAGAAAGGAAGACATCAATTCGGGAACGTTCCTTCTTGGGCAGAAGACCAGTGTGAGGTCATCCAGTTTAAATCTTTCATATTTTACCCTGACCAGAAAATATACGTACAACTTACTGTCAATCATGTGAACTATAGTGACTCCACTGTGGTACATGAAGCCACAACACCCTGGGTTGAGAGTGTCAACAGCACTCAGTTCACAGCTTGTGTCACTCGAGCTGGGAGGAATGATTACCCCTCGGATAGCTTTGCCACAGTTGATTGGGTCGCTTATCAGGGTGCTCCGTCTGGGGGAGTGGCAGGCGAGAAATGGTTCTCGAGATGGTGGACTGGAACTAGCTGTCAAAAGGTCACCTTTGCCAAGGTAATGCTATTTTAATGCTTCAGTAGCACTTACCCTCAAAACTCCAAAAAAGAAAAAATAAAAACTTGACTTTCAAAGCTTTTAAAGCATTGAAAATGCTCCTCACGTGCACGCAAAGTTGGTTACTCTTCTCTAAGCTGTTGGAAAACTACGAGAAGGGAAGGAAAAGAGATGTAAGCTGAAAAAGCTCATTGATACTCGCTGGAAATTCAAATTACCTTTCTTTAAGTTTGACTTGGAAAAGACTTGAATTTCATTTGGTCTCTTGAAAAGACTGCTTGAAAACATTAGAAAATGTAAAACATATAGAATTTGTCGAATTCCTGAAACTGTGAACGATACTTTAGTGCCCGAAAAGAGTCTAAACTTCTTGGCTTGTAGTTTTATAAAATGCTATCGAATCCCTTCGTTACTTTCATCCAGCTTTTTGGTTGCATCCTATACATTTCTTAGGGAAAATTTTCTCAGCCACCGACGATTTTTGCAACAGCCGAGCACCACAGATCCCGCCTTAAGCACGATGCCACCAGTTTGTGGATGGAAGATGTCTCCGTAAATTCCTTCAAGATTTGTCTTCGTGAGCTGCAGAATTTTGCAGGGGTACATGACGACATATCGGTGGTGAGTATTTTTACGTTTTAAGACATGCAATTATTAGGGGTTCACTGTTTACAAAGAACTCGACGTCTTGGTGTGATCAATTGTGAGGCAATTTTCAACACAAGGACCTCAGCACGAATAAATAGAATCGAGCTACCGACCATCATTGCATTAGTTGCACTTCACAGAGGAATGCAATCGCCTGAAGAGGCTTCTCTGAAACTTGAATATGCACCGCGCTTTATCACAAATTAAAAGCCGCTTGGGAAAGAATTCCATTAACCTCTTACTGTTCTTAAACAGAGTATTAATACTAGAGAAAGAGAGGGAGTGTAATACATCCTTTCTTGTCCCAAAAGTAAATTCTTGTTTTCGCCATTGTTTTCTTTCATCATGTAATTAAGTATGCGGTTGCACTTTCATTACCCTATTCTTTTATCCATCTTTGTGCATTGGTTTTTTTTATTTAGAACTGGCTTGCGTTCGAGTCCCTTCACAGACCATTGTTTTCAGAACACAGTGATGTAAACTTTCAGAATAACCTTTCACCATCAGAGATTTATAATTTTGCCTTCTGTAAGGTGAGTTCAACACTGAGTGATTTGGAAAAACATGTATGCTAGCAGTAATATGTTTCTCTGTTTGTACATATTGCTTTTGTTTTGGTGTGTATTCAGTAATCTTCGAGAGTTTTTATTGCTTTTGCAGCTTTATTAATTGTCATTGTCTCGTTGGGATCATGCAAAGCATCTTGTATCAAATAGGACGACTCAGTTTCCTAGAGGCAAGCTCCAATAACAAGATGTCTTATTTCATTCCATAGGACGTGAGTTTCAAGCGAAGCTACGAAAAATCACCAACGGTGTTGGTAACAGCCAAACATTCTATCAAAGGAGGAAAGGTAGCCGCAGAGTGCAATGGAATTGTGAGCTGGACTGAGGTAATCCAGAGGGCTGTCATAAGGGAAAAAAGATTTCACCATCCCAAAAATCATTGAGGCTAGATATTCATGTTTCAAGCGTGGAAGAATAGAGGCTGATAAAGTAATAAAAATTGTTAATTGACGCCATTTTCAGATGAGGCTTTCAATAACAGTATCACACTCTTACAATTATCTGCAGAAAAAAGAGGGAAATATCGCAAGCGTGTACTACAGCTTCCTTTATGAGACTATGATTTCATGTTTGGCCCTTCATTATGACATATTTAGCTCCTACTGAAACAGAAACAGAACTCAATTTTCTCCAGCCCTAATTTTCTCACATTTTGTTTGTTTGTTCGGTTTTTTTTCAAGTTTATCACCCCCTCTAGATTCCGCATTTGCGTGAAGGAACTGTTCATCCAGCATTACGATCCATTGTTGGTATCCTATGCAGTGCTATCAGGTTAGTGAATATTTCTACCCCTATTCAAAAGGCATTCTTGGCAACGTTACTATTCATAACAGGTTTTAGGCCCTTAATACTCCAAACTGACATAAATTAGGGTTTAAATATACAAAAACAATCAAAATTAATAGCAGCTCACGTGTAAAATAGCAATGATACGGGTGCAAGAGGTGACTTTTGACATTCTTCTCGCTCCGCGGTGAACTTTATTAACCAAACATAACCCAATCATGACGAAAACGTTTATCGCATGTCACTTGTCAGTTGTGGGTGTCTGCAGAATAACGAATAAGTCTTGATGATTTTATTACGGCTGTTATATGCCATGGATTACTTCAGATAGAGGCGTCGAGACAATTCCATCATGATTCTCGATCTCAGAAATACGCGGAAAGTAGTATGCAGTCGATATTCATTTCATGTTGATGATTGATTTGTGCAGGACGCCTAAGAAAGGTGCATAATACAGTTTTAAAGTCTTAAATCGTACCAGTGAGGCCATAATAGTAATTGTGCACGTCAGACTCTTGGACAATAGACCGATCTCTTTATATAAAAAATCTCACTCCCAATCATTCATTTTCCTCCTCTTATCTCAAAAGATGTTTGTGAGGAGAAATGGAAGTATTTCAATGGATATTGTTACAGGAAAGTATCTTCTTGTGATTCGTGGACCAACAGCCAGGGTACATGCGCAGCCCTGGGGGCTAATCTTCCCAGTATCCACAGTCAAGAAGAGAATGTTTATGTTCAAAGTCTACATGGCGGGGAGTATTCTTGGCTGGGGCTCTTTGATATAAATACTGAAGGGAAATTTGTGTGGAGCGATGGAACATCGTATGACTTCCATTACTGGGCGGAACACCAGCCAAACAACTTTCACGATGAGGACTGTATTCATACGCTTGGTTTCCTTCAAGATCATCGATACGAATGGAACGATGTTAACTGCAGTGACTGTCACAGATTCACTTGTAAGAAAGGTAAGACATAATTTTAGGGCCAAATTGAATCCAGCAACAGTGATGAAAAATTAACAACATTTTTTTAAATCTTTCACTCTACATACCATCTCCCCCTGTGACTGATAAGGACAGACATTTTTTTTTATCTTCAAAAAGGGAACTGCGCGACGACTTAAACTTCTGCGTCAGATAATCGACCGCCGCTGAATTGTCGATTTCTTTGAGCAATTCCTGAAGAACAGCATGATCTCATAGAAAAATGAAAAAAAATCCCTTAACGTATTTTGTCCAGTGAAACCATGGAGATTACACAGCTTGATTTCTAGCTTTTCGTCACAGACTTCAACGAATGTAACGATTTCTTCAACGATTGTCCGGTGAATACCTCTTGTGTGAACAGTGATGGTTCATACGCATGTCGATGTCCTATTGGTTTTCGTCTAGAGGGGAAAAATTGCTCAGGTTTGTCAAATTATAAACATTCATTTAGAAGAAACAATAGTATGGTCTTGAATAAAATTAACACGTAAAACCGTAATACCGTGATTGGTTGTCAAACCATTTTGTTTTGGTCTAAAATTGAAAATAATATTAATGCTAGTTCACTTTCGTAGTTTCGTGATAAAAATTGATTACATTTCAGATTCACGAGGAATCGTTTGAAAGATTTTTTCAAAACATTATACTGATCAGTCGAGCCATGACATGTATTTGAATTTTTCATTGCTAATCTAAAATTTATTTTAAATATTACACATATTATAAAAATAATATTGTTTTTCATTAAAACAGATGTAGACGAATGCAGTTCAGGGTCATTTTCCTGCCATGCAAAAGCTAAGTGTGTCAATACCCCTGGTTCCTACTCTTGCATATGTTCAGCAGGATACAAAGGAGATGGGAAGATAAATTGTACCATACCAAGTAAGTAAGAAATCACCTCGAAGGGTCAACATATTTCCTATCTTCCTGGTACTAACGAAAAAAAAAGAAGAAGAAAAAATACCTCCCGAACTCTCAATACCTCAAGGAATTGTAAACGAAGGTGTGGCAGGGAGGCTTTAGCTTTCGGAATCGAGTAACATGTAATACAGAACAGACTCGCCGAGCAAATGAACACTTCTTTTCGACCTGTTTATCAGTCTTCTTTCAAATGCTTAACGTTCTGGATTTTCAATCAACAGCTAACTGCGCAGGGCTGTACAAATCTGGTAAAACAACCAGCGGTGTTTATTCAATCGACCCTGATGGCTCTGGTGCCTTTGATGTATACTGTGACCAAACAACAGCTGGTGGGGGTTGGGTAGTGTTTCAAAAAAGACAGGATGGCTCGGTAGATTTCTACCGCGGCTGGATCGACTACAAGAACGGCTTTGGTAATCTGAATGGTGAGTTTTGGCTGGGACTGGATAAGATTCACCGCCTTACAAAAACAAAGAATAAGCTACGGGTAGATCTGATGGACACCACAGGCAGCACTGCTTACGCGGAGTACAACATGTTTTCAGTTAGCAGTGAGAGGACTAAGTACAAGCTTAGCCTTGGGACCTACTCAGGTAGGAGAAGAATGTTCGACACCATTTGATAGAGGCTTAAGTGCTTCGTTGTGGAATTTTAAATGTGAAACTAAACGTGTTCGAAAAATATTTTTTCACTTTAAAGATGGATTAAAATATGGTAGGGTACAATTGTCCTTTATTCATAAATATTGGTCTTTGTGCTCGATGTCCTAAGTATCGCTCGCGGCTGCAGTGCACCCGAAAGAAACGAATAATGGCGAAATTTAGACGAAAAAAGCACAAATTCCACACCACTGCATCGCCAACCTACAAATAAACTTCAATTCCTCTAAAAAGATCTTTTCATTTGAATTTACTCATGGCATCCGTAAACCTTTTTAGATTGAGTGAGTTCAGGTTAACTTGACTATATTAATGAGGGAATAAAAAAGACTAGAGATTAGCGAAATATGATAACAAGTAATATGACCTGTGCAAGTAATGAGCTTGGAACTGATAAGGGCAGAAAAATTCCATATCGTGGTCCCCAATGTTAAGGTGACTCCTCAGTATGCAATCCAGAGACAAATTGATGCTGATATCATGGATTTTACTGTCTCCGCGTCCATTACTGTTGACAGGACTACCACATCAACTCCATCGTTATTTGCATTCAAGACCTTGTCTACAAACAATATTAAATCGCTTATTCATAACTCAGCATTGAAGTCCTGCCCACTCGACCCTATGCCCTCTCGCTTGGTCAGCAAATGCGATACTCTTCTTCCAGTCGTTACCATGATCAAAAATTGAATCATTAGAAGCCGGTCACTTTCTCGAGCGCTGAGTGGAAGGAGGCGCTAGCATGTCCATTACTCAAGAAGTCCGGTCTCGATATCATATTGAAGAATTTGAGACCTGTAAGCAATAAGGCTTTTTTTATCGAAGCTCATTGAGAAAGCAGCTTTACATCGGCTACACGATCACATGGTTAACATGAACTTTTGACCGACTACGCAATCGCCTTACAGAGAGAACAACAGCATTTAACTGCACTCCTAAAAGTCGAAAAGCAAAATCCTACCTAAAATGAATAAGCAGCATCCAACTCTTCTCGAGCTTGACATGCGCAATTGAATATTTCATATTGATAATTATACAGTCAATAAATACCATATTTTTATATAATAAGTATTAGTAATATATTATTAGTAATAGTATTGTTATTGTTGTTATTCACTCAACTAGCCTGGCCAATGAAGGGATTTCGCATTCCGGCCCGCTCTGAAAGTAAAAAAGGGAGTTAATATTGATTATGCTAAATTCGCTTTTTCCCGTGCAATTCAGCCATCATCGAACTCTTCTAACACTTTTTGGGTGGATTTTTCAGGAACTGCCGGCGATTCTCTTTCTTATCATCGTGGTTATCCCTTTTCAACCAAAGATCAGGATAATGACGTAGATAGTAGAAACTGTGCTATGACTTACAAAGGAGCGTGGTGGTACAAGTACTGTCATAGGTCTAACCTGAATGGACTGTATCATCATGGGAAGCACTCATCTTATGCCGATGGAGTCCATTGGTATCACTGGAAGGGATATAACTACTCCGTCAAGAGAGCTGAAATGAAAATTAGACCAGCCTGAGTTTCATTTTAGAACGTCCTATTTTGTTTCCATTTCAATGTTCTTTATTGTAAATTGCTTTTTTATTAACCAAAATTCACTGAAACAGAGTTATCGTAACAATGAAAACGATTCTGTATCGTAAAGCAAAAAATCAGGAGAATGAGCGGGTCATATTTGTCCATATTGATTTAGCGGAGAGACCTCAACTTCATAAGTTTGATAGAACGCTTTCAATTATTTGTCACTCTGTCCGGCAAGGTAAATTAATCTCTGTTTTGTTCCATCAGCGTCCAACATATAAGAGAATAAATCACTGACTCAGCCATCGGCTGAATCAGTACGCAAAGATATGTGGATTAAATACCTGTATGCGAATAGTTGATAATAATGTAATGTAGCCGATAACGATTCATGATAGACGACAGGAAGATATGTAATTCAAATAAAGTCTAAGCTGAGTATTAAAGGCTAGGAAATTAGTTGAAAATTGCGTTTGGTGCACACTATATTCGATAGTTTGAATGTTTTCGGCATTTCGCATTGCTAGATAGAACTGGCTGTGAATTGCTCCTGGCATGCCGCTAAGCTTAGAGACAAAGACTGACACAGTCATATGAATATGTGAATAATATGAAAAATTACTCTTTTCTTTATAGTAGAGAAATTTAATAATGATAGGGAAATCATGAACGAAAGGATGTGTGTTTTAAGCTAGTTTGGAAAGTTAGTAAGGGCTACGATTTCTTTCATTACAGCACTTAGATAACTTTTCGATATTCCGATAGCTACAATGAAACAACCTTCATTTTGACCCTCAGCTCTGACTTCTGAATGACTCACTCATTATCACGTCGTGCAGAAGGAAGGCCTCAGCAGGAGCATGGCTTTCAAACGACGCACGAGATGAATAATAGAAAACAGATCCATTCCTAGCCAACATTCAGACCAAAGGTGTACTTTCAATATTCTTACATTTCAATCTGCTAATCACTTAGTAAAAAATCTTCCCTTCCTAGTCGAGGACGAGAGAATTTTTCAGTCCCGGAAATCAGTGAAGTTAATAATGGACGCGTGGAGCGGTATAACAGGAAAAAAACTCTCGCAATCATTTCAATGACACACACAACACGTTGTGTCAAAATGGTTTACATCAGCGTTTTCACCAGTCCATAATGACTTCAAGTTATCTACAGTTAGGCCGCAAGTACAATGACTTCATTTTTGTCCGATTTTTGCTGCAGTTTGCTGTTCTTAGTGTGATGAGTCAAACATCTGCTGGGCAGGAAACAGTGCTAATGGCACTCCAGCTAGTTCCTCGCCCACAAAGCATTGTAATAACGTCTACTAGAGCCTCTCTTTAGGCACGGCGAACAAGAAGATTGAAACACTTCCTCCGAAAATGAAGAACCAGCTTCCATACTTTCAAAATGATATCAGTATCATCAAAGAAAGAAACAACACTTTATCGCGAGGTATAGATACACAATCGATTATCATTTTTTTCCTTTCCATTTGTCTATAACTGCCACTTAGATAATAATGGAAAGCCTATGGATTTTAACCTTTTTTGATCATGACTTCCCTTTTATATTTCTAATGAACTCGCAGAAACTCTCCTTAGAGAAATGTAAAAGAAACGTCCAGAAATGCAAAACGACACTGCTGCTATCAAAGAAACAAGACGCTTGCCGAAACTCAAGACAACTCTAATAAAATTATTCTTTTTCATAATTCCAAAAAATTTTCTTTTCGTTTTCCGTTAATTGCAAGATCAAGATGCTTGTCGCATTACCTGCAAAGGTTTAAGTTGGACAGGCTCTTGCAGAAATCTGTCAATTTAGATAGGGTTGCTTTCGCTTAAATCCAAAGATTAATTTACCTTTTCTTCCAGCATTTAAGAAGAATTGGGCTAAACTTCACAAATCTGGCAAAACAAGCAGCAGTGTTCATACAATAGACCCTGATCGGTTCGGGTGCCTTTAACGTCTGCTATGACCAAAACACAGCCCGTCCGGTTGAGGTGGAGGGGGTGCTGGACAGTGTTTCAGAAGAGACTGGATGGCTCGGTTGATTTCCACCGTAGCTGGACTGATAACAAGAATGGGTTTGGTAACCTTTGGTTGTTTTGGCTGGGACTGGAAAGGATACACCGTCTGACAACAATGAAAAACAAGCTCCGTGAGGATCTTGTGGCCTTCAAGTGAAACACTACATTTGTACTTTCCAATGTACTTTCCAGTGAGAGGACTAAGTACAAGCTCAGCCTCGGAAAATACACAGGTAATTACAATGGAGAAAATAGAAAAAAAAAAAAGATTAAAAAATCATATTCAAAAATATGATTATTTTTATTGTGTGCCAATACCTAAGTTATCTAAGATTAAAGTATCTAACGTCTAGTTTCGATGACAACTTATACAACTTATAATCATACGAAAGGATGAGCAAAAACAATGAGGCCAACTGTAATTCGGAAATGGCCAATTGAATCTCATTATCAAGTCTAACCTATAAATAAACGTAAGGGCTGTAACCAGTAGTGCGGTATTTAAAATTTATCATTTTATCAAATTTTGATCAACAAATTTTGATACAGATTAATTTTGTATACAAATTTAATTTTGATACAAATTTTTAATAGATAGCAAATTTTGATCGAGAGTCAAATCACAGGCTTGATTTGATACAAATTTTTTAATAGATAGCAAATTTTGATCGAGAGCCAAAGCACAGGCTTGATGAAACTGAGTCCCGAAAGGTTATTGGGCCAAAAGAACTGATAAAACTAGGGAAAAAAGTCTTGTTCAAGACTCTCTCAAAGTAAGATCCAAACCAATTCGAAGCTGAAGAAGAAAAGGCCCCCATGGTGTAATGGTTAGCACTCTGGACTTTGAATTCAGCGATCCGAGTTTAAATCTCGGTGGGACCTTGAACACTTCTGTAGTGTATTTTTACAACAATAACAAACAACAACCCATTTCATTTACCCAGGAGCCCATTTACCCCATAACATATCAATGCAACAACAGATATAAATTTTGATCAATAGATTATGTGTAAGAGACCGGCAGCAGAATTAACCACAGGCTTGATGAAACTGAGTCCCAGAAGGTTATTAGGCCAAAAGAATTAATAATGCTAGGGGAAAATGTCCTGTTCAAGACCCTTTAAAAGTAAGATCCAAACCAATTTGAAGGTGAAGGAGAAAAGGTCCCATGGTTAGCACTCTATACTTTGAATCCAACCATCCGAGTACACTTCTCGTAGGCATTTTTATTTTCTATACCCTACAAAGCATACTGTACCTCTCAAAAGGTACGGTAGGGAATTTTGCATTGTAGTTGTCTCTACCGTCAAAAAAATAAGTTTGTTCGCTATCAGAGATGGGGTTTTGGTATTTCATGAAGATAGTTAATGTCCTCATTATACCCCAAGAAAATATTTAACAGGCATTTCAACCAAATAGGTCTTATTTATAATTGAAAATTCACCAAATATTGGCAGCAAATGGTTATTTTGGAGTCTATTAACACCCCTACTATTCAAAGCATGCCGAGTTAAAGTTACCAATTTCATCAAAAGCCTTGAAGTTGCATCCTTGAACGAAATCTCAACTGTATCAGATTCATAGCAAAGGTAGCTGTACTGTTTAAGTCTAAGATTTTAAAATTTGACATTGTTTGGCTGAATCTTTATGTAGTCTTTGTAGTGGTAGTAGTATAGGAAAATGGGGCTTTTTGCGAAAGTGGCTTTTTAGCAAGATATTCCCACTGCGCTAGAGGCTAAAATTTTTGCCACAAAATGTCGAACCTTTTTAGTGTAGAACACGTGACCACTAGAATATTTGAAAAGTAGAGAAACAGAGTTCGCAAATAAGCGCTCTTATTCGTTCACTCGTCGAGCAAAAAAAAAGGAAGAAATTTATTTATATTTAGTGATTCAAGTGCTCGAAATGGTTATATCTCATTGCGCAGGCTGCTTTTCGAACGGGCTAGAGTGTTCGTTTTTTTTAGGTTTCATAGACGCACACAATAGTGATTCTTTGAAATTGTTATGTTAAGATTTGCAGACTCTCTGTGAGGTTACTTTTAAGAGTCCTCAAAAGAAATCTTTCCCCTTTCCTCAAAAGAAATGATTTAACAGCCGTCTCACCGATCGTTAAAAAGTATGCACAAAGTTTTAATTCTCCTTCCTTAAATTATCGGTCTTGAGGAAGGACGAACAAGAAATTCCGAAAAAACTTTACTTCTCGAATGTCTTTTTTTCAAGTTTTCCATTTACTTCTGTTTTTTTTTTCTATCACTATTACTGTTCCTGCTATTTAAAGAGGCAGTATTTAACTCCGTTTTAAGAAAAGTCAAGAATAACACCCCACGGCAAACGACCAACCTTTCGGGCTGCTACTTTCCACTGTTTTACTCTCTAGTGTAAAAAGTATGCATCAAAAGTAACAGGAGAGTTTTTGCAGCACGAAAGAGGAGTAATTTCATAAAACTCTTGCTCAGGCTTTTAACAATACTTCCTATTTTAACAAATATTTTGTTTAAAAATAAAACACCTGTCAATGCAATGAATATTAATCCTGCCACCCGCATAGTGTCGAGTCGAAATAAATTGACCAGCCGATACATGTTTTAATATAAAATTGGAATTGATCTAGAGTTAACTTGCCTCTTTTAAGTCTTTGAGAGGTACGATTACTCCTCATTTCTACTTTTTTTCTACACAATTTATATGGGAGTTTTAAAGAGTCTTCATGTCATACAGGAACTCGTCCGTGCGAGTTTATTATTGGACCACCAATTAGATGTACGTTTGTAATTATGCTGTAGGTAGAATACAAACCCCTTTTTAATTTCCTATAATACTTGTCTGTTTCCGCAGCACTAACATTGTAAAGACAAACCACTTGAGTGATAAATATCGTTTTTTCGATTAAGTGTACTCATATCTCTCTTTCATTAGCGTTTTTTGTTGTTGTTTTGGATGGATACAAAAGCCTTTGAAAGAAAATTCAGTCTTTTTCATTATTATTATTATTCCCGTAACGACTACTCAAAATTTTCATTTTTTTCCCCGCATATAAGTTTAGGCAATTTAACGTTCTAGTGTTTACTCCCTATATAAAAAACATTTCCTTCCATAAACTATAGCTACCATTATTTTGTTGCACTGCGTGGAATACGACCTACAAACGATTCGCAGATGCTACGGTTTGGCGCCATAAGAATTTGCATTGATAACTTCCATCATTTTGAAGATTTGTCATCTGTTCGATTATGAATATTAAATCTAGCATCAGCTTTCAAAATAAAAACCTGTCTTGCGTCGCATCGATGTCATTTGTGTCCAGTTTTTCTCACGAAACCATTTCCTTGTGGAAAAAAGAAAAAACTGGCACCGTGCAGTCGGAAACCTATCATTTGTCCTCTCTAAACCGCCCGGTATGAATACGACAAGCACGCAAAATTCTACTCTGGAAGAGGACTGTTCTGGTGCACTAAAAAATGATGAAATCGCAATTTTGTCAGCGATGAACAGTGTGTTGGCGCTCATTACCGTTGTTGGAAATGCACTCATTTTGGCAGCCATTTACAAAGTTCAAAGCCAGAGGACTCCTTCCAATGCGTTCGTTGCTTCCATGGGAGCCGCAGACTTCTCCGTGGGTCTGCTTATGAACCCGCTGTGGGTTGCCAAGAGTGTTTTGAATATCTGGAGAAGTGACAACCAGCTTTCTACTGCCATTGAAGTTCTGACGATGCAGACAATTGTAGCCACTACCTTCAGCTTATGCGCAGTAAGCGTGGATCGCTATATAGCAGTGACTAGAATGCGTTATATTGAGATTATGAGTTGGAAACGCATCCGAATCACAATCCTTCTGATCTGGACCTTTTCCATGCTGTTTGCGTGTTTGCGTCTCCTCATTACAGATCCCCTTCAGCTACCAAAGCTGTGGCTGGCCGCTACAGTAATCACTGTCATAGCGCCTTTAACACTCATCTCCATCTGTTATTATCATATCTTCAAAGCAGCTCGATTTCAAATTAGTAAAATTTCAGCCTCTGAAGAAACTAAGATTAGTCCCGATCAAGCTATCATGCAGCTTAAGCACCGTAAGGGCCTATTTACACGATACGACTTTGTCGCATGCGACAAGCTTACGACAGGCTTACGACACTTAAATCAAAACAATACGACTCTTAAGTCATGTCGTAGGCCTGAATTGTTGCATGCGACAAAGTGGTAAATAGGCCTTTTTAACAATAGGAATTTTGTTGGTGGACTCAATTTGTTGGACCCCAGGTTTGGTGATCTCTCTCATTCAGTTCTTTATTGTTAATAATTGCCAGAAGCTTATGATAAATGGCTACTGGTTTTGGGGAGCGCTGGCAGAGTTTAGCAACTCGGCTTTTAATCCTTTCATATATTGCATGAGAAGCAGGGACTTCAGGAAGGCTGTAAAGAAGGTGATTGGTGATTGTGTCTATTAAGTGTAACTTTCACCTATAATGAGCCTTGAAATAACCAGACAAGTACACAGTTACGATGCGAAGGCTGCTGAGTAAAGGATAATTTGCATGATGAACTTGTCACTTAAAGGTTTGAAATCGAAGTATTTGCGATTTTTCTGCTTAAGCCGGTAAGTATCAAAACTTCGTTTGATACTATAAATATTGACGAACGAAATTCGCGCGAAGAGCGATACTATGATCAGTTTTAGTAGTTGAAAGTTCTGGTTAAAAACTCCCATAGGCAAAATATGTTTAATATCAGGTATAATTGAACGACAAATATATTAGCATATTTATAGAGACTATTTGAAACTCCAAGCAACGTCCCTAATACATAATTTTAAAGAATAGTTTGGTTGTTTTATGACAATATGACAAATTATTTACTCAGCATTTCATAAAAATTTTATCTCCCTTCAAATACGCCCCGCATCCAAGCCAAGGTCCTTTTAATCAATTTTTTATTGAAAATGTAAATGTCAAAAGAACAAAGAAAAAAGAATAGCAAATATTATCCCGTATTTTCAGTTTTACTTCTCAACGGAACAAACGCTGTTTCTTTAGAAGAAGATAAATTGTCTCCTAGTCTGTGACAAGTTAATCTAACTGATGTATCTTATGAATGTAAAAAGCGCAAGTAACAAGCCAATATGACAAATTATTTACTCAGCATTTTATTAAAAAGTTTATCTCACTTCAAATACGCGCTACATCTAAACCAAGGTCTTTTAATCAAAAATTTAATAGCCAAATGTAATATTCAAAAGAACAAAGAAAAAAGGCTATCAAACATCATGCAACAAAACATCTTCTCCCGTGTTTGCAGTTTTACTTCTCAGTGGAACATATGCTACGTTTCTTGAGAAGAAAATAAATTGTTTCTTAATCTATGTGATAAGTTAGCATAACTGATACATCTTATGCATACAAAAAGGGCGAGTAACAAGCGCTGCTGGCATCGAGTTTGCTCTTTGGCTAATTTGTAACAAAAAGACGTCAAGAAATAATTGCCTCAAGATGTCAGGTGTTAACACTGGGAGAAATGTCGGCAACGTTATCTCCAGACAGTCTGAACCGCTCGGATCTCGCTTTGGAGATATACCTCTGACATCTGAGATGATCAACGTGAACCTTCCTTGTAAAAACTAAACAACTGTTTTAAATGATATTGCATTGAATCTGAAGAGGAGAGTTGGTATTCCGCTCTTTAGAGATGATGGACTGCAAAAATAAAGCTCATTGAGCTAAATATATGGACCGCCCAGCTATGCTGTCCAATCACAACCTATGAGAAGTAACAGCTCATTGAGTGTTTTTTCACGAGTCACTCACAAAATCATATCACCACAAAATAACTACTTACCGTAACAAAAAAACCATAAATCTGTAATATTAGCAGCAAGCTTAATCTGGAGAGCTTTAATTGGTCAAAGATTACACGGGCATTCCTCCTCAGGGAATATTACTGTAATTCATTCACTGTTTGGAGCTACGAAGCAATGGCTTTGAAAGATATTGTTCATCCAGTTGTTAGAAACAATCACACATTACGCGCGTGTGTTACAAGCTGGATGAGCGTTCGATTTTGAAACCATCCTTTAAAAATTTATCTCTCTCTACTTCTTGCTCAACAAACACTTCATTTCTATCCTTACCCGTTAAGGATTCGATTGTCGTCAGAAAATTCGACTCGCAGTCTTAAGTCTTAAAAGTCACTTTGACACTTGTTTCTTCAAAACGAAAAAAAGCCACACATTGTGTTAGGTTGAACTAACGCAAGTACAAGATGTATTGCCTTAGCATTGGTTGCCGACAGTTAGGCGTTACAATTTACGCAATTATAATTTATAGTTTTTGTAAAAGCTAAGTTTTTCGTTTGTCTCATGATGTAGTCACGTGTGATGTAGATCGCGACGTTTCGCGAAGGAAAACAAGTCCTTTGAATTTCGGAGTGGACTGTCAAAGTGCACGATCACTCTATGAGATATGTGATAGTGTATCGACCTCCATATCCTTCATTTTAATAAAGTTCGGATATAACGTGCGCTGTCATTGGTTGAAAGAGCGTGCTCTATGAGAGTATAGAGCATAGAGCTGAGCTAAAGCTGTCACGCCATCTGCCAATTGTACTATGTTCGAGCTTTTCCGGGACTTCTTTTTAACTTTTTTCCGATAATTGAAAGTGAAATTTCGGAACTGAAGCGAGCCGGCAAGTAGCAACAGAAGAATCAAACAAAGATTTGCAAACATACCTGCGCCGTAATTTGCGTTATTTAAACGTGAGCAGATACGAAAATACTCATAGGAAAAACAAAATAAACATTCCGAGTTTTAAAGATTTTCACGCTCAGTTAGATTGCAAGCTTACGCACGGTAATAAAAATCAAACACAGCTTAAACTCGTATAGTATATAAAGTTCAGTGTTCAAAAACAAAACAGAATAAAACAGAAATGATGAAAAATTTAACCAAACTGGCATAATTGTTAAAATTCATACTAATCATGACGGTGTCTGAGCGAATATGATCATGCTGAAGTTCATCGCGGCTCGCTCATCATGGCGATCTCCGGTCATCACAGTAAAGCAAGCCTCAGAAACTAAATCGGCCACCCTTCGAGTGAAAAAATAAGAGCTTGCTCTGATATCCTTTTCGATACGTTGAGTGGAAAGTCACATCAGTCACTGCAGCCGAGTTTCGCGGCGCTGTCATCACGAGCGATCTTCATGTTCCGGTGAATTCGGCTGTCGTTCATTCAAAAAACACTGTGAAAAAACTCGCGTGTTTTCATGAGCCATAATTCGGCTGAAGTTCACTGAACATTTCATTTCAAGATTCTGTATTAGAGACTTAAAAACTTCAGGCAAAAGTGTTAAATTCGACTTGCCGAACTATTTTAGTTTGTAAACTATCGTAGAATGTGAACTTTGATGGTTTTTTAACTTTGATGGTTTAACACTTTTGACAGCGTTAGTCTTGTACAGCCAATCAGATTATTTGAACGATTCTAACAGGGATTCTGATTGGCTTATTGTAGTGTGCTTTATGAGAGTATAGAGCATGCTGACGACACTGTTGTTCGCTTTGGAAATAAAGTTTGTTTTGAAAATTGAAAGTAATGCTTGGGTAATTTAACGAATTCTTTATTATAAAACAAATAGAGAAGCCTTGACTGTGTTCTGTTCTGTTATAAAGCACTTAGGAAGCGGCTAGAGCACTCAAGAAGTGGGAAGAAACACTTGACTACGTCCTGCGTGCTTTATGACAGAACAGAGCACAGTCAAGGCTTCTCTATTTGTTAATTAGACCCCGTTTCAACTTCTGTCTTTCTTGGTGAATTCTTTCAGTTTTAGAGAATGTTGTTATGTGTCCCGAGGCCCTTGTTATCTCTGGGGTAAAATTTCCGCACAGCCCCATCCTAGATTATACATTCAGTTCTTGAACAGAGAAAACAATACCCTCAGCGGTAAAGTTTCCGCACAACCCCATACTATTGTAAAACAAATCTGTTTTCCCAACGGAAATGTATTGTTTTTGCCATTGTTCTCTTTGTTCAAGAACCGAATGTATAATGTAGGGTGGGGCTGTGGGGACATTTTACCTTGCTGCGTTCTTAGCAGATATTGCCTCTTCTACGCTTTGTGCAAGCGTACACTGGGACAACATTGATGCACTCTCCGACTGCTTTAACGAGACCCTTACTGACATACTGGATAAGTTTGCCCAGCTGAAAACAAGGACTATGATTAATCGTCCAAAGGTCCCATGGTTTAATGATGACATTAAACAACTCAAGCGTCAACGTCGTCGCCTTGAAAAGAGAGCCGTGAAAACTGATCTCCCTGGTGACTAGAATAATTACCATATAGTTCGTAATCAGTACTCTGCATTTCTTAAATCTGCACGTGTGAATTATTATTCAAACCTAATTGATCAGTGTGCGGGTGACTCTCGCAAGTTATTTCGTTTGGTTAATTCTTTGTGTAGGGAACCACTTGAGACGGCTCTTCCAAAGCACACTGACGCCACAAAGCTAGCAAACAAATTTGGCACCTTCTTCCTCAAAAAAATTGAAATCATAACGGAAAATCTTGACAAGTTTCAAGTTCAAGAACCTCGACTCATTCCTGTTACTCCCTGGGAGAATCTGGAGAGTCTTTCCGCGCTATCCATCGAAGAAGTGTCTAAGATTGTTCGAGAATCCTCCAATGCCTCTTGTCGGCTGGATCCTGTTCCTACCTGGCTACTGAAGTCCTGTCTTGATGTATTAGCGCCCCCTATCACTGAGATGGTAGATCTCTCTCTTCTCAGTGGTCACGTTCCAGAAAATTGGAGAACCGCCGTTATCTTTCCTCTACTGAAAAAACCTAGACTTGATTTGGTCTATAAAAATTTCCGTCCAGTCAGCAATCTTCTATTCACTTCCAAGGTAGTGGAAAAGGCTGCACTTCAACAACTTCTCGTACACTGTGAAAAAATGCCCCCCTCCCTAAATTCCAGTCCGACTTCCGTAAGTATCACTCGACAGAAATTACTCTATTGAAGGTTCAAAACGACATCTTAATGAGTATGGATAATAAAGCAGTGACACTTCTCGCACTTTTGGATCTTAGTGCTGCTTTAGATACCATTGAACAATTCATTCTTCTGAATATCTCACAACGGGATTTTGGAGTCGTCAGGACTGTTTTAAATTGGTTCGGCTCATTTCTGTCCGGTCGCAAACAACGTATACTTGTTGGTGAGAAGACTTCTGATGACTTTAATCTGAACTGTGGAGTCCCCCAGGGTAGTTGTATGGGGCCTACTTTATTCACTCTCTACGTCTTCCGCCTCTTCAACATTATATCTCAGCATCTCCCTTCTGTCCATGGTTATGCTGACAACAACCAGTTTTACATCTCCTTCCGACCTTGCTCTATCCATTCCGAATTTAACGCTGTCTGCGATTGAGATGTACATTGCTGATGTTCGTTCTT